CACTCGGAAATGCTGAGGTTGCTGCTGGGGGAAAGCATGACGCATTCTGTCTGAGAGAGGAAGACTTTGCTGAAAGGGTCAGGCAGGGGAAGTTGGCTCACCTTACTGCATTTTACAGCCAGGTCACACATAAAGAAGTACCATTAAAACGCAGCTTGATCATTGCTTTGCCCAGTGTCGCCTTCTCTGTATATTTTGCTGGCCTCACACAATCTTCACAAATCGTCCAAAGAGTTTCCCTGGTTGGAACTTTAAGAAGAGGGCATGCATCTTAAAGAGATTGCTTTATAAGCAATACTGATCGCTGGCCCATTTTGGGGCCCCATTCAAAGCATCGGTTAGGAGCTAGAGGGCCCTAAACCCAGTGATCGCCTTCTCCCACTGGAACTTGTCTGGGGCGGATCATTTTTAAAAAATCAGAAAGCACAGTCTATCCTTCTTTTGTTCGTTCACGATCGACAACAGATAAGGGCAGGGGGGAAACGCTTCCTTCTCCCGCAGTGAAACGGGCTTCTGAAAGGGCATTCCCGCATCCCAGCCAGCACTGCAGTTCATGGATTCGCTCTCCCCTCGCCTTTTCTGCTCTCTGGCCTTCCTGGACCAGCTCGCCCCCTTCCTTCTTTGCTAGGAAAGGATCATGGGGTGCAGCAGAGATGCCAGAAGCATCCTTCACGACCTGTTGTGCGGCTGCTTGCTGGCGTTGTCAGTAAATCTCTCTCGTTGGGTACTTTGTGTTGCTGTCAGGGGAAAGAGGAGTGCCCGGTGTAAGCTCTCCGAGCTGCGGAACACAGCTAAGCTCCTTATGTGAATTTCCCTCGCAGAAGAGAGACTGCTTTCTGTGTACTTATTTTTAAATTTTCCCTTCAAACAGTGAATTGCCTGGGAAATGTGATGGCTTGGCAGTTTTGGAGCTGCAAGGGCTGTCGCTTAATCCGGAGAGGAGAGTTTAATCAGCTGCACGTCCACTCTCAAAAGCCTCGTCCCCTCCAGGTCTCATGGGTTCAGATCAAAACGTGGCCATCTCCAAACCCTCCACTCTATCCGAGTTTGGGAAATTAACTGCGGAGACCTTTGCATGCAAGAGTTCGGGCTCTTTGCTAGGTCGAGGAGGGACCAGGAGTGCTTCCCTGGAAGTAGGCCGGGAGGGGGGGCAGAGGCTCCCTTTTAAGGGGAATCAAGGGGGGGAGTCCTCTGAATCAGTGAGGCCACTCAGGCGGTGAACTGGCCCACGCGAAGGGCAAGCCTCCGTCTCTGAAGGCGCTTCCATCCTGAAGCCAGGCGTGGTGTTGTGGAGTTGGGTTTTACGGGGTGTGCACCACCACCGCTTGATGAGCATGATCAAAGACATTTCCCGCCCTGCCTTGCAGCTTTCCCTGTTCCCTCTGAGCCGCGATGAGATCCCTGCAGTTAGTTGGTGGCAAAGGAGAGGGCAGATTTTCCAGCCACGCGGGCTTCCAAGTGGACCAAAAGCTTCACTTTGCAAAGCACAAAATGAGGGCGAGTCGAGAGTTGTCCATGCTGTACTCTTTCTTTCCACCCTCTTCACTCCAGATGTCTCCCTTCTGGGGCCCGATGGGAGAAAATTGACAGAGATGTCATTTGAGAATTGGAACAAGGGCACCACCAGAAAAGACAACTCTGAGGAGAACTAAAGGCTGGCAGTGCAAAGCAGCAAACCGGCTTCAGGCAGCTTGCTTTTTCAAGGAAATCAAGAGCGTGCAGTTGCGCATACTCACGCCCTGCAACATGGCCCTGCACAGATTTGTCCTTCCCTGCAGAGATGTCCGTTGTCTTGGGCTTGGCCCAAAGGTCAGGCCTCAGCAGAACTGTCCATCTTACCCGGCTGTTTCAAGGCTTGGCGCTTTATGAAGTTACCCTCACTCACAATAACGACTCTGCCCTGCTTTCTGTGGCTCTGTAAGGAAAATCTTGTCCAATTACCATGCGTGCGCACACAGGACCCTGGAAGAGGGCAAAGTCTGTTCCAAGACCAGAACCAAAAGCCTGATCGATGCTATGGACAACAGCACCCCCAAATCGGAGAGCAACTCGACTCTTCCTGGCCAGCATGAGGACCCTTCACCCACGGCTAGCGGTACAAGCACGTGCGTTCTGCAGATTTGAGCTCCACAATGCAAGCAAACCCCGGGAGCCCCCAGTGTAACACATAAAAATGCATTGCCCTCCACCCGGCACAAAAGCCAAGCTGAGCCCCCCCTCGGCCCCAGGGGCAGGGGGCTTTTTGGCTTTGCTGGTCTCCACAGGGCCGACTGGCGAAACAAACAATGGCAATTGCCATGTGCCATTGATCACCTGCTGCAGGCCGAGACGAGCTCCTTAATCATGGTCTCTCCGGGAAGAACACAATTGAGATGGATACTGTAGTGTCGCAGGTGGAGAGCCGACTGCAACGCATCCATTAGGAGTGCTCCAGCAGACCAAAGGGCCTCCACACACACACACACACACACACAGACACACACACACGAGAGAGAGAGAGAGAGAGAGAGAGAGAGAGAGAGAGAGAGAGAGAGAGACTCAGATTGACTTTCCTTGCCCTTTCTTTCAGCCATCTGGAAGGCCAAGGGCTGGTGGTGGTGTGACACAGAAGGGTGGTGTCAGGGGAGGGGGGACTGGGCCTCCCCTCCCACGAGGCACCTCCAAAAGTTGTTGACCTGGACTCTGGTTCAGATGTGGAAAGGAAGCTCTGGGGGTGCCTCGAAATGCCAAGGTCCCTGCACGCAGAGCCGAGCCGAGCCACACAGAACCGGAAAGTTTCAAGTTGGCGGAGGGCAGGGTGGCCTTCTGGAGGCCAACCTACATTGGCTGGGGGGGAACCAACAGCAGCAGCCCTGTGATCTGGTGCCAGATTAAGAAGGTGGCCCAAGTGAAAAGCACCGGACATTCCTGGCGACTGGCCGGCGAGCAGCAGGGCTCGCCTTGACAGCTTGGAAGGGATCGGAGTGATTGCATTCAGAATCAACTTCATATACTGAAGTAGAAAGAGCATCCCACAGGACTCGGCTCTCCACCTGGAGACTTGGGAAAGGCCCATTCACTCTGCGGAAGTCGTGCTCTGAACATTCAGATTTCTCGGCTGCTCCAGCACACACAGGAGCACACGAGCGGAAGGGACTCCTGGCACCTTGAAAGACTAACACGTTTATTCCAGCAAGGCCTTGTGCTCCCCCCGTCACCGCCTTGGCCTGTAAGACACCCAAGTCTCTTCTTCCTGCTGCAACAGACCTGAGCTACCCCTGAAGACAATGGCTTTTCTCCTTCCCTTCCCCTTCCCCCTTTCTATTGTTCTTGTCACACTCCTACATAAACCGGCAACAGTCCTTCAAATGAGCCGCTCTCCAGCACAACCCATCCTGGCACGATCCATTCGTTCCACGCTGTTTTGCACTGCACGTTAAGTAAAAAAACCTATTTCTGGGCCTGATGAAATGCAAAGATCTCCTGGCTGCAGCAGAGTTCAGACTCATTCCTGAGACACACGGAGGTCTCTTGCGCCCTTCTCCCTGAATATTTATGAACTTTAAGATGTTAAGAGGTCTTCAAGAACAGCTCTGAGGAAACCACGGCTGGCTCAGAGATTAGTGCTCTCACTGAGCATCCAAATGCACTCGCAGCACAGCTAAGACCTTGGGGCTTGGTCAGTTGTCACGATACTGGAATCTGAGAGCGCTCGGTTTCCACACTGGCAGCCAACCAAAGGAGGTTTTGGTAAAGGGAGCTGTTGCTATGCTGTTTCAGAAACCCTGGTCTTCGCAGGGCAGGTCTGCCTAGCTATATCAGATCTAGTCCATTTCCAGCACAGCCTCCGGGCACTCAAAGTACGGTTGGGGGTGGGCATCCCTCCCTTATTCAACCTCTGGCATTAAGAGGATCGTGCTTTAGTTGGCTAACATGGCTGAGAGCCATCAGCCTCGGATATCCATCCACCCATCTCCCCTGATTGCATCCATTCCTTTTTAAGACGATATTGCAGTTATGTCTTTGAATCCCCCACTCTTTTGGGAGTAATCCCCAGCTTCCTGAATCCCTTAAAATCAAGCACTGCTGATAGCGAGCTTGCCACTGCACAGCTTTGGCAGAAGACTCCCACGTTGGCGGGAAGGTCCCCATCTGGTCACACGCAGCTCTTTGTTCTGCCTCACGGAAAAACTTCCCTCCTCGTGCATCAGTTCGGGCTTGCTCACAGACCCTGTTCTGCCGCCTAGAAGCAGCCAGCTTGGAGATTTTGAAGTAACAAGGGCTCCAAGATAAAACCGAACCTCATTGCTAAGCATGTCAAATCTCTTTCACTATTTTCCCGTTGACGCCTGATTGAAAAAGCCTTCAATATCATTTAAAAATGATGCCCTTTTGAAGGGCCACTGTTTGCAAATGCTCCTTTTTTGGTATGTGCGCGCACGCAGACACACACACACGTTCTTCCGGTGATGCACATAGAGGGCAACCTTCCACCAGAAAAACAGACGCTACTGACAGCACTTTGCCTCCCCTCTGCAGGTTCCCAGGCACACCCCAGATGTGCTCCAACATCGTACATAATTCAATCACTGAACATTGTTCTGTCCTTCCTAGAATTGTATCGCTTTCAGAAAACATTTACATGGATGGTCAAAATCCATACCCAAACCAGAATCTCTGTCTATGCAAGCGACCCTCCATCACCCTTTCCCAACGGAGAAAACTTTATCATGAGTTCCAATGATTTTGTGACAAGCCTGAGAATCACAGCCCTGGACAATACATTCTGCCAATACTGCAAAAAGACCAACAAAAGATCAGTTATAGCGGTGAGTAAATACCACCATCTTGTGGAAAGCAACAGAAAACCATCAAAAAAATAAAAGCACTCACCTCTTTGTAGGCCGAGTCACTTGCGTGTTTTTGCTTTATTCTTTGCAAACCCATTTTATTAAAATCCTTTGGCAAGGTATCAGATTAGCTTCATCCCATCAACTGTTTGCCATGAAAGCCACAGTGAGTTGCATATAAAATCTTTTATTTGGCAGAATTATAGGCATTACAAAAGTAAACATACCAAAAAAAAGTGCAGTTTATGGGACACAGAGTCGAAACATACCTGCTGGCTCGGACTGAGCTGCTAAGAAACACACCAGCGATTAGCTGTTGTGATGGTTTTACTCTTCATGATAAGTATACTGTGATATAGGAACTCACGCTAAAAACAAAGTTACCCCAAAAGAGTGTTCTCCTATAAAAGGAAACTAAAAGGCAAGTCAGAACTTGGACGGCCAAGCCTCAGCTTGCAGAGCATTCCCGTTCTCAGGGCTATTCCCGGTGATTTGGCATGGACTCAAAATCGCACCTGACTGAAGCCAGAGGCAGGTATGCATCGGCATCAAACTCCCTCATCACTGGGAGATTTATTCTTCTGCATTATAAAATATGCACGTGGCAGCAAAAATCATGGGCAGCATCTCTCTGGCAATGTTCCTGCTAAGCAGCGTCAGAGAAGCAAATGAGCAGGCGGCAACCAAAACCAAGAAAGGTTCACAAAGGCAAAAACAAGAGCTGTCACAGAAAAACAAAGTCCAGTGTAAGAAACACCAAGTTTGAGAGAGGGGTCCGTTCACCTGAGAAACGAAAATCTGGCAACCAGAATACGGGGTTTAGACCGGCCCTGCTTAACATACCCAAGCGCAAAAGAACAGCCGGGCTCCTGTAAACACAACACTCCAGAGAAGTCAGTGCCCAGACTGTCCTCCAGCACATGTGCCTTGTCGAAGCGCAGTCTAAAATTCAACAAAGAATTGGGTGCAGGGAATGGCTTGGCCCGTTGATGATCTTGCGTCTACGTACGTTCACAAGCACGGTGTCTCCCGAGGCACAACCCCATTGTGTTTAGACAAGAAGTCTGACCACTCTTGGCATTCCACAGCCAGCGTGCGGGATTCAGTCCAAGCATGCGCAGAATGCTACCCTAAGACCATTTATTTCATTCATATCAGCTAAAACACCCAGTAGAAATGCTGTGCCATGATCATTACCAGTGCGTTCTCTTTCAACAGTGATATATTTTAAAATCAAGAGATTAAGCTAGGCCTATATTATATAAACCTAAACATGACTGAATGTGATGGAAGCCTATTTACCGGCTGACACATAAGCTATCATTGCTAGTGCAAGTAAGTGCTCGTGCAACTTTGATTTTACTATTGTGCAACTCACGTTCTCCATTATCTCACTGAATCATGAGCTAGACATGAGTCCTCCATATTAAAAATTCCATCTCTGCGCCATGCAAGCCAACCTGCATGAGGATGGTTCTGCTCAGTTATTCATATAAACGCTGACTTAAAATTTATTTCCAACTATAGCAGATAATATTTTGGACAGTTTCCCATGAGCCGAAATTAAAGCTGAAGGAATGGCAACATTTCCCTCTTTTGAATCTTTGTTGTGGGTTTCTGATTTATATCGTGATGTGGAAATATGGAAAAGGAATAATTTTGAGAAAAGAATGATCTAGAGAGCTACGAAAGAGGTCTGAGGACCCTCATGCATTCAGAGAGTTTCCAGAACACGCAAAGGCCATCTAAAATCGCGACATTTGCCGCGGACTGCTTATTTTCAGAGATGCTTGTTTCACCAGCTTCTGCTGAACTCTGCTCGCTCTGGCCTCATCAACGGCATCGCAAACCTCCTGTGAAGCAAACAGAATTTTCCATTAGATGTGAAATGGCACGTATTTTTAAGGGACAACCTAGCTGCTTATATCTTGGCGGGGTGGGACCGCTTGAACTTGGCCCTGCCGATAGCAAGCAGAAATAAAACCTAATAAAGGGATGTTTGGAGAGGCATGGAGACAAGAAGCTATGAGAAAAATAGCCTGGATTTTTGTTAAAAGCCCTCATGCACAAAAAATGACTCCGTCAGGAGCAGAAAACTGCACTGGCCTTTAGATCCACACCCAATTTCCCCCCTTTTTATTAAGGCTTGCAAAACCTTTCAAACCCAGCTCCTCCTACGTTTATTCTTTGGACTGAAGACCCTTCCTATAACGAAAGACAGCACTAAGATCTGTACAATCCCTAACACCTTCTCAGTGGTAAACAGGGGTCCTTCGCCACTGCCTTTTAAACTTCCAGGTGGACAACCTGTTGGATGTTCAAGGCAACCGCATTTCAGGGTCAAAGGCCCAGGGTTTTATTGCTAACAGCAGAAACTGTGTTGACGTAGTTTAAAATGTGAAGCAACTCAAGGTGTTCAGTGCATCTATTGCTACCATTGCTGAAGATGGATTCCTGAGCGGGATTCGCCTCACTGTCTCTTGTCCTGAGCCCTCTCTTTTGTGGAATGTCAGCAGCCCTTGGTCCTGCAGGGGAAAAGCAACTTTAAAAGCTTGCACAGAAGTTCCGACATGCAACGATGCAGAAGGCCATCCTCACACCACAGCTGTTGAGGTCTAACTCTGGCCATAATTGTAGTTACAAAAGAAAAACAGAATTCGAACTTGACATTCGTGAGTTTACACACGAGAGCAGAGTGCCGGGTTATGAAATTGCCACCAAGAGAGCAAAATGATTTTTCTCTTTGTACCCATTCAACGCCAGCTTGCCAGAAAATCTTAAAGAAACTACCTTTGGGAGATGGAATTCCAGAGGTATAGCAATTTCTGACAGCACAGACTTTAAAGACCCGTACAGTTAAAGATGCAAGCCTTTTTGCCTAGAGCCCACTGGGGAAGGGTTACATCACCCTCAGAAATATTACATTTTGAGAGCTACAGAAATGCAAAGTTCCCACGAGGGCTTCAATTTTGAGGAAGAACCCCAGGGCCTGCACAACTTCACTGTGCAATGAATTTTATTGTGCTGCAATTTTACCAAGGTTGGGTTAACTCAGCCTACAGACGATGCAAGTCAGCTGCTGTCCCTACTCAGCTGGACAGCCCAGCTGATCTGGCTGGGGAAGTCTGACGTACGATGGAGGCGGCGTTTTGGTCTGACTTGCTGAAGCTGCCAGAGACTTAAATTAAGGCGATTCTGTTAAGAAACTGATTGGAGCAGCTTCTCCGCCACCTCTTTTGCAACTTAACTCTTCCAAGAATAAGCATGAATATGTTTCTCTACCTTACCCTAACAAAGATGCACAGCATGTTTTCAACCACAGTTGGAGGCCGGGTAAAATCTTCGTATAAGTAATCCCAGTCTGTCATGAGATGGCCCAGGATCTCCACCTCCTTGACCAACATGATTCTCCTGCAGGAGGACAGAAATGAGGCACTCCTGGTTCCCGTCCGTGGGAAACTTCTCAGAGGATGGGTCTCTATTTCCACAGACGGTGCAAGCAGCACGAAACAAAATTCAGCTTCAGCAGAAAATATTTGAAGTTCAACAGCTGGAGCTACAAAATGGCTTGAACAAGGGCCAGATTCACACGGAAGCTAATTATGCTCTTCTGCACACAAGTGCGGATGGAGGGGAAGAACCACTTCTCCACCCACAGAACATTCAAGGGGAAGAAACTTATCCCCAAATCGCGCACTGGGGAAAGGAATGAAATGTGGATACCAGGCTGCTTCTTCATCATCGTCATCATCGTTTTCATGCACTCAAACATACAAAAGAAAAACAGGCCTGCCAGAACAGAAAAGTTTTGCCTGCCTCCAGAAACACAGCCGGTGGAGCCCCCTCTAGCCTCCCTGGGAAGGGATCGCCAGAGCCTCGGGGCAACCACCAAAAAGGCCCTCCCCCGAGTTCCGCACAAGCGTGCCTGTGAAGCGATGGGACCGAGAGAAGGGCTCCGAAAGGCTTCTTGGGAAGCATGCTGTCTTCCAGGCAGCCCGGGCTTCGGGGGGCATAACCAGCCACACCTCAGCAAGCAGGCCTCTCCCTACAATCCAGCACGAGGGCACCCTGCTGCCCCTCCGGGGCAGCTTCCCAAAGGGGGTGACCCTCTTTGGAGCACCCTCATCCCTACCGCCACTTGGATTTTTGTGCCCCGGCTCCCAAAGTCGCTGCAGCTGGGAGTGGGGGCAGCTTTGCTGGCCCCGCAGCTGCAAGGAAGCTGGCAGCACATTCTGCCTGGGGAGGGGCTGGCGCTCAGGGGCCCGGCACTGCCGTGCAGCTGGAAGGAGCTTGGCTAAGAGGCCGGAGGGCTGCGGCCAGCAGGGCGAGCCATGCTGAGGAGCCCTTGGCACAGCCAACACTGACTCTCGAGTGGTGCTCAGCAACCAGGACGCCCAGGACCGAATCCTGCCGGCGAATGCCCCCAACCAGCCTCCGAGAAGCCAAACTGGCATTTTGCAGTGCACCAAACCTGAGTCGCTCTATACGATTCGAAGCTACACACAAATATACGGTTGAAACAGAGGTCCCCATCAGGAGGACTGGGACTGGAATGGCCATCAGGCTGTAGCCACCATTCTCCCATCGAGAGTCTGGGAATACACCCAGGCTGCAAAGCTAAAAGTGGAACCGTACCTGTTGGTTACGACGATGTGCGCCTTTCTGCCTCTTGGGAGAACGCAGTGGTACCGGAAAATCTCTCCCTCCAGCTTCTTGATCTGAGAGTTCTGGGGCAAGAGGGGAAAGGGCGACCTTTCAGGAGAACGTGAGGCGTTTCTTGTTCTCCCTCACCACCTCCAAGCTCTGGGCCGAATGGCAGAGGGGGCAGCCCTCCCAGGAGCCGTGGCTGGTGGACTCGGCCCCTCTTGCGCCAGAGAAAGCTCATTCCAGGTTTGGCAGCAGGCCAGCTCTGCACAGGGGGTCTGGAGCCCCAGACTGAAACCCGCTCTGGGATGAACCTCAGAGAACTAGGAAGGTGCACCCCAAGCGGCATGCAGGATTCTCTGAGCATGCCAACACTGTGAGATGCAAGTGCCTTACATCTGCCTAAAATATCCATGGATCCCAAAGGCAAAGCTGGAAGAAAACTGCCTCTGGTGTCACATTAAAAAGCCTCCTACACACAGGGTTCCTTGAAGGGGTGCAGCACTGGGCAGCGGCTGCCCCCCACAGCAGAAACGGGCTTGCGGTCGCTCAGCGAAGGACTACGTGGCCACTCCACAAACTGGAGCACCAACTTGGACAGGCCTCACCTTGTGTGTTCGAGGCAGGATTTATTTGCACCAGCCTGAAATACTTCTTCCAGATGCCGTCATGCCATTAAAACCCCCTCTGAATGCGCCACAAGGAAGGGAGGGGCTTTTCCATAATCAAGCACAACTGTGAGTCATGCAACTGCAGCATTTGTTGGATCAGAACCCGAGTGCCCACTTAATAAACAAGACCTCATTTGAAGGATATTTTATATGAACTGGCCTAAGGGATGCCTTATACTTTATTAATGTTACAAAACTGTAAAAAGACCAATATATATGACAATTAAATACAGTAGAATGTTAGGAACACAGCGATAATCACCTTGAAAAGCAGTTTTTACACATGGATGTCACTTTCCATGTAGGGAAAACCAACAACCGCACATCTTGTTTATCTCCGCCATGCGTGATAGAGCGAAATGCCCAGATTCTTGCCACTTGTGTAGACATTGTGGGTCTGACCAATGCCTTAAGCGTCCATGCTTTATGAAGGTATCTTAAGAAACCTGGCCTAGGAGATGCCACCACACCCCCTTTTCTCCAATGTGGCCTCAAAAGACTTCCCCCTACTCAAGGAAGCTTGGGGTCATTTTCTAACCCCACTCTTTCTGTTCTGTCAGCTAAGTTAAGGCTTGTCGATGGCACTGGAGTCTAGTCTTTTCGATTTTGTTAGAAGAGCACTGAGTAGCCGCTGCAACGGGGACATTTTAGGATGGCCAAAAACCGAGAACTCAGGCAGAGGAAGGAAAGAGATACCCACAAGCGAGAGAAAAAGCAAGCGAATTGCGTGGACTGTAGAAAATAAGAAGAAGCAGAACAGCTCGGCCTGATCCAGGACTTTCCTTTCCAAGCAAAAGTACTTTTCTTTGGGCTGGACATTTTGATGCGGATATTATCCATCAAACTGTTCTTATAAATGAAAGCCAGCAGCCTTTTAAATGAAGACAAATGAGTGTGCACGATATTATATTTACATTGGGCTTTTTAACCATTTATTACAAGATACATTTGAGAAAATAAATACCTAAACACATTTGAGTTAAGTTAAATATTAAGTTAAAAGCATGAATGGGATTTATTTATACGTTCCTGAAAACATACCTTGAGAAAGAAGTCTGCTAAGTCACCCAAAAGGACAAGAACAGGTGGACATTACCATTTGTTTAAGAGCTGAGTGAAACTTTGTATTTGCCACCAAAGCAAACCAGGCATTTCTTCACTTAGTATTAACAAAAGCCAGCAAGTATCTATTGCTTCAACAGAGACTGGAAGTCCGTTTCTTCCCATTAATACTACAAAAATGTTTTCCACCATCATACAATAGAGATACATTGTTCTCAAACATATGCTTCTCCTTTAAATCAATAACATCATACTGAAAGGAAACAAATACATTTCTTAAGGTAAAATGGATAAATAGTGCTGAACAAAAGCAACGACAAAAAGTTTCCTTTGAGCAACAAGGCACTGGCTTTACTTTTTAAGAAGAGTAACTCCACCTCCTGGGGCATCATTTTTTGAACGCCATTGCTCTATTTTGGGGGATTAACATATCCGGAAAGAAAACATTGTGCTGTTCACAACCTGGGGACGGACTCCCAAGAGACTCGGCGCGACAAGAGAAGGCGCTGCCAAAGTCAGGCGCAAGCACAAGGACGGGATTCCGTCACAAGCAGCTGGCCGGCTTGGGGTTCCCAACTATAACCAGGAAGCTGCGGCCACATGGAGCGGCCTATTGAGCCCCGGCCAGGCACGCTGACCCTCGCAGCTGCCTCCCCACCCACCTTCCACATCCCGGACGCCTACCTGCCTGCCTTCCTCCCTGACAGCTACTTCCAAAGGTGTCTTTTGGGAGAGATGCTTGGAGGGGGGAGAGCTGCCCCTGTGGGACAAGGGCAGCCCCCACCTAGCCTACCTGCATTTGAAGCCCCCCCACCGAGACCACGCCTGCTACACGCGGAGGAGGAGGAACAGACTGGCCACGTCCACCATGTTCTGGCCTCCCCGGCGTGACCTAACTGAACCAGTTCAGCAGTCTTATTCCACACCTGGGATGCCTCAGCGAGCGAACAGCTGACCCATCCTGACAGGAATGTCTTTGGAATACCGTAACTCTCCGGGCATCTCTGGAAAGCATTGGCACATTTACAAGGCAAACTCGCACCCCCCTCCCTCGTTCCCCGCCTCCCCCCTTCCTACCAGTCTCCCGTCCTCGCTGCCTCCGTCACACCGATTTTCCCAGGGAGGCGCCAGGCCCAGATGCAAGAAAGCATTTTGCCTTCCTGTGAAAGGGTGCGTTTAAAACTTGGCCCCGGTGAAAACTAAAGGCTCTGCGGAAGGCTGAAGTAGGTAGATCCCTACGGAGTAACATCCTTAGGGTTAAGATAAACCAAGGCAGAATAAACACGACCAGGAAACTAGAATGGGAACAGTGGCGCCATTATTCCAGCTGCTCCTGCGTACGCGTAGTGGGAGAGAGGAAGAAAGAAGAAATAGGTTAGAAATGGATCACATGCTGTAGCCAACAGACAGGAAGACTGCGCAGAAGGCGAGAGCGAGCCTCATTATATATTTAGGACACTTTTGGCGGGAACTTTATTCTTGATCTGTTCCAATGAACCAATAAAGGCAAGTTACTTCTGATCATACTTAGGTAGCACATTTTGGCTTTACTGATCTCGTATAAGCAAAATGGAAGCTCCCCAGATTTTACTATGTTTCTTGCCAATGTGGAAATCAAGTCCTTTTCTTCCTTTTCAAAGAAACAAGTATCACACAATTTGCCGTTGTGTGAAACAAATATCACACAATTAATTAACAAATGTCACACAATTAATTAACAAGTAATACCAGAGAAAAGCATGGCAAAATATGGCAGGTGCACGGATCCAGTAAAGAGCTAAGATTAATAATAGTTCCTAACTTAAAGAGTTTCTATCTGAACTATGGTTTATTGAATCATAGTGTGACGTTACCTCGTTTCAAGCAACCTATGATTGCAACTAGCCTATTTCGCTGGGTCTGCATGACAAAGCAAGCTGCAATTAATCAAAATCAGAAGCAAAAGTGAGTTGCAGCCATGCCAGACAGAGTGGGAAGGAAGCGTGTCGGCGCCAAGCTCGCATACGCAGCTCCCTCTGCGAGAAGTCTTGGTCTGTCATGACTCTGGGCACAGCTAGTGCAAGCAGCTGAACCATTTCAGGGCTTTACTTGGCACCGAATTCCCCCACAGGCGCTCAGGTATGTCCATGGCCAGTCTTTCAATGGGGAGATGCAGGTGGCAAGGGGGCCCCAAATGTTAAAAAGGCAGGACAGCAACTAAGGGCCCTCAGCCTGGTTCCCGAACGCTCCTGCTTGGACAGGCACGGGGGCAGCGGCAAGGAATCTACTCTCAGGACTAAGATTCCCCAGCTGTCATCCCCAGAAGTCTTGGACTTCCACCCCCTGGTGGCATACGAAAGACAGCCATCATCTTGACAACTGGCCTCTGGAAATTCTATTTCTAGAATTTGCGAGTCGCAAGACTGCCCCCGACCAAAGAGCTTTTGGATCCAATACGCACTGGATTCAACAGGGAAAAAATTCTTGGCACCTTTGATCCTGCAGCCGTGTTGGAGTGCTAACACACACACACACACACACACACACACACACACACACACACACCCCCCACGAGAGCTGCTGCCGCATTACATTGTGGTGTATATCTCACCACTTTCGAAAACAAACATTTCCACCACTTAACTCCTGGCTTTACCACAGTTCACTAGCCAATTTCTCTTGCAGAATCAGAGAACTTTGAATACATTTATTGCAACTGCTTGCAGTGATGGCCAGTATCAAACATACCTCAAACAAGTCGTAACCCTCGGCTTCACCTCTGTCGTAGGGCCGAATGATGCCGTCTTCGTGAATGAGCCGGGGAGGGCGGAGGGGCGACACTTCTTCAGTCGATTCCGCCACCCTGTCAAAGAACATTGTTAACGTCCACCGCCCCACCGTTATTTTAATTTCAACAGGCGGCACATCTGGGTGAACTGATGCCCTGACGATTCCACGTGGTTTCCTGAAGCCCCCTGTTCTTTCAGGCCGGCACGTCTGGGTGCAAGATCCGTGGGGAAGGCCCTTCTTTCTGTGCTACCGACAGATGCAGCTCTTTGGGAGGGACCTGAAGAGCCTTCTCAGCAGAGTTTCTGGGCTCTGCACCAATCCAGCCTAAGTCCTCATCGCCTTCCTTCAGCCGAACAAGAACACTGTTTACGCGGTCAGTTACAGCCTTTGTTGAGTTTGTGGACTTGTGTTAAGTGCTTGATGCTCTTATCCATTCTTATTAAGCTTGCCTGACTTGGTCTCACCTTCTGTTACTATCTTGTGCTTTCACAGCTGCTGGCTGCCTTGAGCCCCACTTGGTGGAAAGGCGGGACACAAACCCACAATGAACGAACGGACGAAATGCAAACCCAAAATGCAAGATGCTAAGATACACAGCACCCCGAGGGCTTTGTCTTGGTGAGCTGCGCAAGAACAGCATCCAGATCTTATGGAGAAGGCGTGCACTCAATACCAAAGCTGAGCTTTCCTCCACTCCCATGTTCCCCAGCTGGATGGCTAGAGTGCCTTTCGGGACACATAGGAACTGCCAGAGAGAGACTGGCCAGTACTCAGAGCTGCACTAGGGACAGGAAGGCCCAGCTGGGCTGACTCGACTGCCGGAAAAGGAAGCTTCGGGAGGCCAGGAATGGCACAACAGTCGGATGCAGGCCGCCTCCTCTGCACTGTTCTACAAGCATCACTGAACCGGGCAGTTCGTGCCTCCAGCACTCATGCACGGCTGTCGGCAGGAGGCGACCCGCTGCCCCACACTCACAGGCCGGGCCCTTCCTGCAAGAGTGGCCACGTGGCTTGGCCATGTGGGCGTGACGGCCTGTGGGGGACATTTGCCCCTCCTGTGGCCTCGTGGACATCCCTGGGCCTCCCCGTGGATGCCTGGCCCAGCACGCCAGCCCTTCTTTCGGACTAGACCGACTGCCCCGGGGAAGTCTCATTATGCCTCCGGGTCACTGCAAGAAGCCGGGATGCAGGCGAGCGGCCCCGGCTGCTTTTACCTCTGGATCCCCTGGAACGTGCTGCTTGCCATGTCCACGATGCCCCCCGTGGGACGGGCCACCACGCCCACGAGCCCCTTCCCGATCCCTTTGAAGAACCCAGCAGCCCCTTCCTTCTTGGCTCCTGCCAAAAGAAAAAGAGAACACAGAATGGATCTTCCTTGCTGGCAAAGGCCAGCTTTCCAAAAGGTTGAGGAGGCCTTCTGGTTTTCCTCTCTGCAAGAGTATCTGGCTTTCAACATCAATCCTGCAGAACGATCTCAAAGCAACCAGAGTCGTTTCTCAAGGTTGGCATGGTATTACTACGCCCTTTCCAACAGATCCATATTCCGCTGCACTCAGTACTTGCTCGGCAGGTCTGACTGCTCCGTCCTGGAAGACGTCAAGCGCATCCCCCGTGCAGCCCCTCGCCAAGCCCTTCTTCCACTCGGGAGACAGGAGAAGCCAGAGCCTGAGCTCCTAAAAAGCTCCGCTTGCTTACCTTCCACGGGCTTTGTGATGATACCGGTCACTCCTCCGACAACCCCCTTGAAGAAAGCCAAAGGAGAGAGGAACAGAAGCATGTCAGAGTGAGAAGGACGCGTGGCCATTTCCCCCACAACCTCTGGAGGAATATTTTCACATTTGAACTTGAGGTAGAATCTTCAAAATCATCCCCTGGGTCCTGATTATCCACTCTTCCATATGGGGAACCCAAGAAGAAGAGGGTCCATGAAGGGACCACATGAACACCAGGTGTGTACCTGTGCACACACCCACCAGCATATGTAGTATTCCATCTTCTTACTTCTAAACTACTATTTAAAAAAAATAATAGTTTGGAGCAATATAGCTAGAGATACATGATAGAAGTATGTCTAGGAATATCCCCACAACAGGAATGGGCATTTCAGTTGAGAGAGGCTGGAATACATGCACCTTCCAAGCATGGAAGGATCTGGAGGGGGGTCCGCAAGTGCCCCAGCCAGGCCTCGGGAAGGGGGCCCAAAGGTGAGTTACCCCCAGACCCACCTGGGCACTGCAGCCTGCAAGACCGGAGCAATGAGCACGGCGATCCCGGTGGGGCTGGGGGCTGCTCGTCTATTTACCTGTGACAGTTTGAGTGGGGCCCCTGTTGCTGCTGTGCCTGACACACCTGGGCCACCAAGGGCCCCAGGACACAGGCAGGGCAGTTGAGGGCAGGGGGCTGGGCTGGCTTCTCAGAGCGCTCCAGGCCACCCTGCCTCTGGCTGCTGGCGAAAACTAATCCGGAGCCCCACATTGGCCACGATGGAGCGGGAGCTGCATGACGACTCTGAGCTGGCCGTCCCTGATGTTTATCCCACGCAAGGAAGTGGAAAGGGAGTTTTGCACTGCCTGCAGGATTTCACACCTCCTCTGAAGATGTTGCCCGTGGTTCTCAGGAAGAAGAGAAGGCCACGGCTGCTCCCACTTCTCCATCTCTTGCTTTGTGCTGTCTCAACACCTCGCCTCACACCACTGGCTCTTGCCAAAAGCCCAAGGAGCCCCGTGAAGGCCACCTGAGCTGCAAGCATGCCATCCCTCTTCCAGCCTCTATTGCCCCCTTTATTTCCGTCTCTTTATGCCTCCATGCCACAAATCCAGTCCCTAAAGCTGTCTGCAAGCGCTCGAAACAAGCTTCCGCCTCGGGAACTACTTCCAACCTCCGCCTGCTTCACAGAACAAGGCCGATTTAAAGCAGTGAAGGGGAAACGCCCTTCGGATGGCTCAGCTCGGGATCGAAGAAGTACGCGAGCAACGTACGCGCAGAAGGCCCTTCCCTCCTTTGGCAAGGCTGTCCCCAAAGTCTTTCGGCTGGCGCCCCATCTCCTCTCTCCTCTTCTGCTGGTACTCTTTATCCATGGTGATGGCAGCCAGCCCTTTTCCCACGGAGCCAGTGATGCGGGAGACCATCCCTGCAGCTCCACCTGCAGCCAAGCAAAGAGGGGGTGAGGCTCCGCCACCGTCTCAAGGTGGGACACCTCGTGCCAGGTAAGCACGGGAGGGCAGACCGAGCAAACATGGGAGGCACCCCAGCGTAAGTGCTGCCCGGGCCTTTGGGAGGAAGACAGGATGGTTCACTCAGTCAAGGGTCTACAAACTCTGCTCTTGCAGAAACATTCCCGCTGCCTGTACATAGACGTACCCACTGTGTGGCCAAGCAGGCTTCTTACGCCGATCACAAAACCTTCGGCAAACTCTTCCGGTCCTTGGACAGCTCCCTAAAGGGAAGTGATAAACCATCGTGTTTAATTTTTGAAGCCCACGTGGGCACACACCTCACTACCCTTCTATTACGCGCAGCTTGGGGAAGCGCTGGAGAATTCTCGTGACCACGTTTGAAAGAAGTTGCTTTCTGCTCATCAGCCGGCACGTCAATGGTTGCAGGACCCCCGACTCTGAAGCTCACGTGAGGGACACAGAGGAGTAAACAGACATTCGGACCAATTCCTGCCCTGACCGCAGTTCCATCCTTCCGGCTGTTTAAGAAACTGGCTGTGGCACCAAACTGCTGGCAGGGCAGGGCATTATGGATAAACTCACCTTAACCGTTCCAGCTAGAGACAGTGCGTATATCGTGTTCCATGCACACTTTTTACACCAACCTTTTAGAAAACATTGCAAAGGGTTGCAGAAATGGAAGGGGAACATGAGAAACGGAGCAGAATCAAACATGACCGATGAGCTCATACCTGAAAAGGCTCGTAAAAAAAGGCCTCCACTCCGGCTGACAGGCCTCTGATTAAGCCGAAAGGATTGCCCAGGACGTCTAAACCCAGCACGAGAACGTACATCTGCTTCAGGAACTGAAGTTTAAAAAACAGAGTAAAACAAGTTGGGGTTTCTGTTCCAAAGCCAGAAATGAGAATGCAAGAATATGTCAGAAGAACCCCTTGACAGTGGCTGTAAAACAAAGCTAAAAAGTGCAATACGCCATGTTTACAATGCGAGCGGTGAGTATTGGTGGGGTGGGTCCTCCTGCTGAGGAACTGCGATTTTGTGTGCATTAGCTTCCCCTGGATACCGACATTCCCCCGAGATAAGCCTGGCCTACACGGAAGCACCACTGGAGGTACAGGGGAGGACGCGACCGGAAGGCAGGTGACTTACTTGGTCTCTGTAGTGCTGGATGACTCTCCATATTAATTCATCTCTTCTGTAAAACTGATACTTGATTTCAAAGAACGCCAGCCTGAAAGAAGCAACAATCAACGTCAAGGCAAACGATTGCCCATGGTCTGAAACGTCTGGTAACTGTTCACATTTATGCAATGCCTTTACTTCTTAAAGCACATCACACACATCTTTGCAGTAAAGTGTGCAACAATTCTGGAGTGTGGGTTGCTGTTGCCCTCAAGTTGTGGAGGCAGCGCTGAAGCTGACGAGCTGCAAGTGGACGCAGGAGGAGAGCTCCCGGCTGCAGCAAGAACTGCACCAGGAAACTCAGTTTGTGCTCGAAAGCATGTTCACGAGATCTGTTCGTATAAACCGCCGTGGCCGTCTTGCAAGGAAAAAGGAGGCGGAATATACAAGCACTGTATCCATAAGAGCATTTCTCCATCTATGCTGATAAGAAAACTCCATGAAGGAAAGTTTGCCTCTGCACTTTTCCCAATTAGCTATGGGATCCTGATCAACGCTGAGGGGCGGCATGCAGTAACTGTGACCAATATTACAGATATTGATCCTCAGTGTGAAGGAACCCTGTGAGGTGCCCCAGAAAAGAAGTGCCTGGCCTGCTTACTTGAAGATGAGGTCATCCACGTCCGTGAGGGTGGCCCCGATGCTCTTCAGCAGCAGATTCACAGAGTGGATGGCGATCATCTCACCCTTGCCCTTGTCGGATGCTTCTCCGCCGGAGCCCAAGGAAAGACTCAGGTGTAGCTAGCAAGACAAAGGCAGATCCTTAAATGCACCACGAACACTTGGGGGATTAACGGGCAAATGAACAGAGACACGGGAAGGCTCCATGCACGCCTTTGGAGAGGAAAAGCAAGCAGCGGCTAGACCTTGAGGAGCGGAAAGAGCTCAGCTGTGCTGCTAATGGCACACCCATCGTCCTTTCTGCATAACAGAGAATTCGTGTTTACATGGTATTACAAGAAAGGTCCACAGAAAATCAGATGCTGCCTTTTGCCTGCTAATTCAGCTTCGTTTCTCCCCCTCTAGTGTAGAATGGACTGGCAGGAAAAGAAAAGACAGCCACTGAAATTCCTGAAAAGCTTTGCTAAATTCCTCTAACCCTTTTTTTTTTTTATGTCAGCTAAGGTCAGAACGGGGCATGCCCATTTCAACAAACTGCTTGTGGTCAGGTAAGAGAGTAGAGAGAGCTGACCTAGGGTCCACCTCATCCAGAGGAAGCCCATGGGGGGACGTAAGGACAACAACAGCCCCCTACCCAATATCCCCAGGAGCTGGCGTGGAAAGGCGAACAGCCTCCAATGCTGGGAGACACGGGTAGCATCATCCTCCAAATCTGCCCGCCCCTTTTCAAGGCCATTAGACTGGGGGCCACCGCTGCACCTTGCAGAGGGGTGGGGGACTTCAGAGCTCAGCTACACACTATGTAAAGAGTCCTACCTCTCCAACTCAGCATCACGGGACGGCCCCTTTGGGGTCTAGCATCATGAGACGGGAAGGGAAAGGAAACATCTCCCCAACCCTGCTTTCTATACCAGGCATAGCCTTGCCTAGCCCCTTCATGCATGCTTCAATTTAGCTGCATTTCTGTAAGCTACAGTGCCCTTTTCCGGACTTTTCCAGCTTTACAATATCCATGCTTTTAAGTGCAGTGACTGGAATTGCAGAAGGTATCCCAAGCATGGCTTAAGAGGAGCTAAGCCGTCCGTTCCATGGAGGGTCCATCAGCCACGCTGTGGGACCTTCAGCCAAGCTTCACACTCTGCTTTCAAAGGCATTAAGAGCTCCTTGAATGCTACCCAAAACTCAAACAGAAAAATGAAAGAACCTTGCATAAGATAACTCACATGCATTGAGTTTTTAAGCTGTCGACAGTTTAGCACAGACCCAAGAATTCCAGGACAATATTTGAAGGGAAAACCTAAAATATTTCACGGTTTGGGGCGAACGGACGATGGCCACTAACGGTACACTTTAACCGCTACTTCCACGAAAAGCAGCAACGTACGCAAACCATTGTTGGCTAAGAACAGCTCGACTCTGGGCACTATTTTTTGTTTTGGTTTAAAGACACACATTCAAATCTAGGGAAGGTACCACAAATTACTTGGCAAGATCCCAGGAGACATTTTCTTCCATCTAGTTAGTTCGCTAATGGGGAAGCAAATTAAATTTACCACATGGAAGCGGAGCAAGCATGCGACCAAGACGCCGAGCCGAACTCTCCCCACTGTGCAAGCTGTGAGGTTATAAACAAGGAAAATGAGACGTGGAGTGTGAGCCTCAACGGGGAATGTTCCAGCCGGCCGTGCCCATTGCCGAGACATGTATTTTTGTTACTATCTGTGAAGTATGTGAAGCATCGGCAAGCGTCCACAAGAATGACCTTGGAACGTGCTGCAAAAGGGGTGTTTTATCAAATCTGCTCTTGCAATTGCCCTGCGATCTCTGCGTATGACAGCGATTCCACCCCAGCTCGAGCACCGTCCCTCCCTTAATCTATCCCTGGGCCTTCTCACACAGTCCAGCGGAATGAGCCTCTGCTTGTACCTTCAGCGGAGAAATGTGGAAGTGCTCAAAGAAGCTGAGAGGAGAGATATCCGTCAAGGAAGACTCCATCAGCTCCGTGTTCAGAGCATCGATATCCCTTTGGATCAACTTCACCTGTTAAAACAGAAATCATTTCCACGGAAATCATGAATTAGGTTCAAGCCTGAGCTACGCCAGACTGATGAAGTTCGATGTTTATAATATCAGTGCTCATCTTGGTCCAAGGTTTTTTTCTAAGAAGATTCCCTAGCAGCTTTGAAATTACTGTAGTTCTTCCATTTAATGCCATCTTCATGGTGCCTTTTCATGCATTTCTTCTCTCTCTGTTTCTCTGACTCAAGTTTGTAACAGGCCCAGGCGCCCTGCTGATGACACACTGAAGTCACACACAGCTAGAAACGCCTGTACCTGATGGCTGTTGAAAGTTGCAGGTCATGGGGTGGGCCCTTCATGGCTCTTGATCACATCCCAAGCCTGTCACTACGCACTATGCATCTTAGAAATGCTTGGTATATCTTTCATGCATTGCTAAAAATGTTGCCACTCTCTGTATTTGCCTAGTAATAACCTCTGGTATTAGGCTAGTCTCTGGAAAAATACAATTGTTTCCTACTGCAGACACGGGGACAGGTGGAACACGAGTGGCTCGTCATTTACAGGCTGGCAGGTTTAGAAACCGGACGATTGAGCAAACCCAAATACACAAGCTGCAATACCCTTTGTGTTTCAGCTTCTGGGTCTGTAGATGGAGTGAAGAGCTCAATAACAGCTCCGAGGAATCCTTGATCGATTCTCAAAGCCATCTCCTGAATGAGAACCATGGAATACCTGGGAGCAGAGGAAACATCAGGAATTGATGTGGAGTTTTAGTACTAGGATAGTGACATTGCTCTGCTTGGCTTTTGATGGAATTAGCATGCAATTGGAAATTTCACACTGTGATTTTGAAGATCCTATGGTATGTGTTTGGAAAACCTGTAGCTAGTTCGAGAGTCTCTCTCTCTCTCTCTCTCTCTCTCTCTCTCTCTCTCTCACACACACACACACACACACACACACACAGATGACCATGTACCATGGAACAGTTAAGGTGAAGTACTTCTTACAGGAACCATTTCTATCCCAGTAAAGACAGACTCTGACCAAGGATCAATTTGACCTCTTCATCTGAAACACGCAATCTTTTCTGTCTTCTTTTCTTAACAACATTTCATTATTTAGTCTAGGAATCACAGGAGCATGATGTATGTTTCAAAAACGTTAAGTATATTTTACTTACTTGAACTGCAGCACTTTACTGTACTCATTAAATCGAATGATGATGCTAACATCAATGAACGGCTTTGGTTCTGAGAAACAACAAGAGGCGAAATGAATACCTGTTTAGCCATGCAGTCTTGACTTGCTAGAGAAGCATCCAGAAATAATGAAATAGCATTACCAGAATCTAATGCGATGGATTTGGGAGGAGCTACAGGGTGGAACACGATGGGGAACACTGACCCAGGCAACTGGTTATCAACCTGCAAGGGAGTAAAACAGCGTGTGACACACAAGACCTTTAGAAAGCGTTTCTATCTTATTATAGGAAAAGCCTCGTCAGCATTTGCATAAGGAACACACTGCTGGGTCCCAAGTGATTGCAGATACATTTCAGAGCTCAAAGCAGATGGAGAGCTATATCCTACAAAGACAGGCCAGCAAAAGCACAGTTTGAACGTTCTCCTCAGTTAGTAGGGCTTCACTCATCCCGCAAACCACAACCGTCCTAAGGACATGCCTTCCGCATCGCTGCGAATCGGCCACGGCTGATGTAGCTCCCAGGGCCCCCTCCCACAGCCCGCCACTACTGCCCGAAGAACCCCGGCTTCCCGGCCCGTGGAGGGGTTTTTGCTGACATCCTCCGTAACTCACCTGAAGCCAGCACAGCTTGGCCCGTAAGCTCTGCTGGTGAGCGGACTGCTTGAATTCAACGTCGATGCCTGACAAGAAGTCGCGCCTGATGGGGCACTTGAAGGGAAGGTTCATTTCCATGGGCATCTTATCAAAGTTCACCTGGCAGTGGAAGTGCACGTTCAACTCTTGTTATTTAGGAACCATCAGTTCCGCACGCTCAGGACGCGGGGAGGGTCTGGCCAGGACCCCCGCTGCGTTTCCGGCACGCGCACACCTAGCGGCATTGGCCCCACGTCCCCGAGCGCCCTTCTACCACATATTATTCAGGGGAGCCGAAAGCGCTGGCCATGGGCTGGGGAGACCCGCAGGCTGGTTGCGGAGTGATGGTGGCCTGCGCCTATTCCCTTCCCTCACCACAAGATGGCCAGCACGGCCCGGCATCTTCCCCCGACCCACGTCCTCCTGCATGGCCTTCCCCAGGTGCACAGGTAACCCAAACCGGGGCTTTGCACAGTCTCAAAGTTACGACCTGGCCTTCCACTGCCGGCCTCACGTCTTGTGAGCAGCTTGCACATGGGGCTTGCACAGGGGTTCAGAGGATGCAGCCAAAAATACTATGGAACTTTCATGTCGGTGACAGGACCGTGCATCCTTGTGGAGCCACAGTCCATCTTTTCTGTGTGTGTGTGTGTTAATTATAGGTACGCACCTGTGTGCACACGTTTCCCTCTCTCCTCGGCTCGCATATCAGTCCTACCTCATCATACGCCCTGCCTCAGTTCACTACATGTATCGCCCACATGCTTGCTTTTCGCATTTAGTGAGCCTGTTCGGCCTACCCTGCCGCGACTGGCTCTCTTGCTTTTGCTGGCGATACCAGTTTTCATACCCCAAGACACCTTTTGCAGAGTGAAGGAATAGCTCTGCTCGCTCCCTGAGCCTCAGCGGGTCCCGCCTCCGTCAAGAAGTGAACGTGAGATTTTGCAAACTGTTTGTTCTCAGTTGCAGAATTGCGATGTGTGTGGTTTCTCCCACTGACGCGGGCTCCACATACCTCGAAATTGTTGTCTATTTTAACCCAGCCAGAAGCCTCCACAGCTCGGAGGCTTTCGGATGCTATCAGGTGCTTCTGATAGGCCTGCTCCAAGATGGTTATCCGCTTCTGATTAAATGGCTTCCACTTCTGCTTTGGTTTTAGTTCCCAGACCACACCTGAACTGCAAGGGAAAGAGCAGAGATTAAATAGGCAATTTAAGAACTCCAGGGAAACATGGCTTTTCAGGGTTCAGCAGTGTGTGGATGCAGGCTCCCTGGTCAGTCCTCCTTCAGTAAGTGGAGCAGGGAACCCCGGCCCCCCAAAGGGTGGTCTTCCAAGTTATCTTCACATTGTGAAGCAACCAAAGGTATTTGGGCAAAATGTTGTTTTAGAGAAATACAAATGACTCGTTGCTTCAGTGCAACAGAATTCCTGCGAATGGAGAGGGAGGAGCCACGGCTTACTCACAGTACCTGATGATCCCAATGTACGAGATTTCCTGTTTGCTTTCGTTGTTGACCAACGAGAGCCCGAGGCTGTGCAGAGCGAGGTGTATCTCCCGGTCAGGCTGTTCCATCTCTTCTGCCTCCCGTGCTTTGGAAACCAAGGCCACATCGTCTGTGAAAAGCAGCACCCTTTGCCGGCCATCCAAGAAGGAGACCCAGTGGATCTGCGTATTGGAGTTGTAAGGGAACTGGCCACATTCATCCTAGGTTGGCAGGAAGGAAAGAAACGGGCTCAACGCTCTGCAGCGAAGCCACGGCTCCGACATACACGTTTTAAGTCAAAATTAGGTGACGTCAGCAGCAAGCGCCACCGTGTTGAAGTATGAAGGGAAAGCGGTGCACAGGCCCACAATGCTCCAGAGTTGCCTCTGGGAATACGCGGCGAAAGAGACTTAAAGAATTAAGCTTGCTTCGGATGCGGGCTCTGAACGAGCATTGCCCCCACCTGTTGCAACATAACCAGTGTGCGCACAAGGAGAGGGGCAGCCGTAAGGGAAGCGCACCATCTGTACAAGTGTGCAAACTGCTTTCATGGGGCACAGTGGCCTGGATAACGAAGCTGGTTCTCTGTGGATGCAAAATACCTTAAGGAGGTCGAGTTCACCCACGTTGTGCGCATACGTCCAGGTTAGTTTTCTTATTCCGGTGGGATCCATCCATGTGAACAGCTTCACCTCCCTTGGTTTTAATTCTGTCTCTGCCTGCGAGCCGCTGCATGGATGAAAACACAAGGTGAGTAATACCGCTGCACAAAAGTGTAACGCAACCCAAGCATTTTAGCCCACCGTTTCTTTCGAAAGGCAGAAGCAGACTTCCACATACCTTTGCTTGTATTTCAGAGCACACCAAGGAGTGTGATTAATGATCAAAGCTGGAGCAGCTCCCTCGTGGTAGTCTGAGAAGCTGATAACCGTCGAATGCTCGGACACGTTCACGTCGACTAGGATGCCTGTGTTCTGTGGGATGCAAATGGACACCGTACAGAAAGGAACTCGAGTCTCAGCATCACTGTCACAGGTCACAATGGCAGCGAGCAGCCAGGGAGCACTGCTGGTCAAAAGACCCTTCGATCATTCGGTGTTGTGGACACTGGAGCCCAGACGAGGGCAACCAAAATGGGGCAACCATGTGGCCACACAAACAGGTCTACACGAAGTACGACAATCTTGTCTTCAGAGCAGACAGCAGCTTTCTGACAGTATCTTTAAAATACCCCAATTTAGGGCTGTGTTTCTTATGCATCTGGTTAAACTAGTTACCTTTGATTCAGGGGCTAATATTATTTGTATATCACCAGGAACCGTTCAATGCAAATTGGCTATCACCACAATCTCTGACACCCTAAGTGTATCTGCACAATTGCACACATTTCCCTCTGATCAGAGATTAAACGAGGTGGCCCTGGATTTGGTCCCATCGCTTTAGGAAATAGCATGTGGAGAATCTCAAAGGCCAGGCTTGCCCGGTTCTGGGAAACCTCCGCAGGGAGATGCACCAAACCGCCAGGTGGAAAGAGCTTACTAACTTCTCCATTCTTGAAATTGCTCGGATCGCACTGAGGGTGAAGAGTCTTGCTGCCTTTTATTTAAGCACTCGCTTGATAGCTTGGACAATGAGGAATTTCATACAGAGGGATGAGACAGCTGTTGAGGGAGGCAGGGACTGCTCTGGACCCCTGCCCTGGTCACCAGGAAAGCACAGTGGGTGGGAGGCAGCAGGATCCATCCCCTCCTGGCAGCCTCCGCTGTTTGCCGGCTCCAGCTTGCACCTTCTGTGTCACCTTGAGTACCTGAAAAATGCTGACGGCATTTACAATCCTTACCAGTTCTTCCACGCTCAATAAAGTCCCGTTGTCCTGCTGGTTATAGAAGAATGGCTTGGAGAAGTGGTCGCAGCCAATGACCTTGATGCAGAGTTTGCCAGACAAATTTTCCGGCCAAAATGGAAGACACTGGTGGGAAAATAAGAGTTTCAAATTAAAACCTGGTGTTTTGCTGCCCCCCTCTGCCCAAAATTGATGGCTAAATGGAAGTACTCTAGCTATGTTTGGAATTCTTTCTCAAGGAATCAATATCATAATCTCCAGCTAATGGGAGAGATGCATTAAGTTTGGCGTGATATTTGAAAGTGAGTATGAATTCGTTACTTCTGCATATTTTTAAATCAAAGAGCAATAACAACTATTCTTTAGCAGAGGAGGGAACAAGGAAGGCCTCTTGCTCCGGGTCCTGGCAAGACATTTTCAAGACTGCCACTGCTTTCTGTACCCTAATGCCCTCCAGACCTTCAAGCTGAGCCTGCTTGTCTGATCTGGCCGGGGGATTATAGGAGACATAGTCAAACATATCTGGGGTGGGGGAACACGTCTGAGGAAGAACGGGCTAAAGGCTCCGGCTATCAGATTAATCACAGTTGCTTCAGAACATTTCACATTCAAAGCCAAGCAGTTAAAGTGAGAAATGCAGCTTAAATATAGTACCTCTGAAGAGGCGAAATAACTCAGTTTATTAGTAGGAAGCGAACCATCAGCGCCAACTTCGCCCACTTCTATCTCAAAGGAAGATTTATTGGCTATGGTGTAGAATGGCGTCAACGTTACGATCCGGGTGAGATTGAAGCTGCTCATTTTAATGCTGACACCAACCTGCAGAGTGATGTTGTTATTAAAATTTGTATCTCAAAAGGTTTTCCTACCATAGGATTCTAGGCATCAAATAAAATCTGATATGACAAACTAAATTATGTTTGGGCCATTTTTACCTTTCCTTGGGTGTGACCATTCAAACTGGGAAGGGTGCAGGCCAAGGTAGATCACCTGTCTAAAAAGGTGAGGCAGCCACCTGTTTGCCGAGGACGGACCCTGAGTGACTGGCAGCCCCGGTGTGTGCTCCAGGACTTTCCTGTGGGACACCCCAGCCTGGTGTTCTTCCTGACGCACAAGCCCACTTTTCCCTTCATTTCCATACCACATTTATTATTATTATTATTATTATTATTATTATTATTATTATTATTATAGCATTTCTATGCCGCCCCTTGCCGAAGCCTCGGGGCGGCTTACAACGCAATAAAATACATTGAAATACAATAGAACATAATAAATTACCATTAAATAGAAAAATACAAAAAATACATTGAGTTACAAACATAATAATATAAAATTAAAATTATCAGTATAAAAACCACATGATGTCCCCAATGAGCACACCCCGTTCCTCCCATACCTCTCAGGTATGCAGGAACTGGAACCATTGGCTGAGATGAAACTGAAACGGAAACGCCCTCCAAACCGTGCAGCCGTGGCAACAAAAGACCACCCATGTTTGTTCTTTGGGTTGACTCATGGATACGGAGTGAGCTAGCAAGACTCGGCCATAACAACCCACCCGCCCTTCAAAAATACCAAGCCACCCCCCGTTTCCATCCCTACACCAAGGCCCACCCACCCCACCCCAGATATCAAAAGGAGAGGAGCCACGGAGGAGAAGAGGAGCAGGTGTCTGGGGGAGAAAGCTTGCACATTCTGAAAAGCAAACTGGGTGTTAGTACACATATTTGGTGTTAGCAAGAAGGATGGAGGCAGAGCTTTACCAGGAAAACCATGGAACTGAACGGGCACTTCACACATCCATAACTTCCGACTGTATCCAAAGAAAAGCCGTTGGACCACGTACTGGTTGAGATGCTTAACTGGATCTACATGGGGTGGGGGGAGAAGGAAAGGAGAAAGAACAGGTGATGGCAGGCCAGAGTCAGAAAAAAATGCCCCCCTCCAATCCACCTGAGAAACCGCATGCTTGTTTCACAGTAACTTTGCCCGGTTCTAAGTAAAATTAGCCTTTTTCTGTGCTTTGGTTCAGGACACCAGCATAAGACGAAAAGAGAACTACCAACCTGGAAACCAAAGCATAGAAAATAATCCAGAATGTCAAACCTTACACACTTGTGGCCATCTCGGGAACCCTGGTGCTCTGCCAAATGGTGTTAAATTGAGATTCTGTCCAAAGTAGGCTTCAGATTGCTTTTTCGTACTTCGAAAATGGAGGGAGAACTCTGAGCTTTTGACTTTAAAAAAATTCAGGTTCTCAATTTAATTTAGAAAAACCGTCTGCACGATGTAACCACAAAATCAAATGGATAGCAGTTTTAGCTAGCTTACACCTCATACAAGCTTCCACAAAATTAACATAACAGAAGGAGTCATACATAACCGATTGGAATAAATCCCTCTCCTCCTCTCAAATAAAGTTGATCAATTAAGAAAAATCCTCAGCATTGTGCAGTTAACTTTTTTTGGGATCATACCTTATTTTTGCTGAAAATGTTCTTTTTCTTAAAGGAGAACAAGATAATATCCCTGAAGTCCGCTGGGTGTTTTACATGCACGTCCTCAGCACGGTACTGCAGAACCCGAGAGGTTTTATTGATGATCCAGTAAGGACTGTACACCGACAGGACCATGCGGCTGCCCTCTTTCCGAACGTGGACGTAGATGTCAACTGTTGCCACGTCGGCCGAATCCGAGGTGAAGCACACGGGGAAGAACTCTGGAAGGGCATCAAAGAGCCGGATGCGCCCATTCCAGTTTTTACCCTGATATTTCATTAAGAGCAGCTCCATGATTTCTCCACTGATGGTTGAATGAAGCACGTCGGCCGTGCTCCCTTCCAGAAGCTCATGGGACTCGGCTGTTGCCTGAAAAGAAGCATCAACCATTGCAAAATTGCAACCGACGTTGGGGCAAAACAAGGACAACTCCGCTCATGAAGCATTACAGACCCTTTCTGCTGCTCTAGAAAGAATTAAAACCTGGAACGTTTATAAGAGCCGTGAAACACAATGGGCAGGCTCCACACTGCTGCCACACTCCTCTGTGAATGCTAGTGCAAATGGAGCTCCTTACTTGTGCAAGAGAAGGCTGGCAGTTCTACACAGCAAGCCTGAAAAGAAGGGGGGCCTGCTCATTTTTGCAGGGAAGCAAGTCACTGCAGCTTCCTTCAACTAGCTCTGCTAACCTGCCCGGTTTCAGGTAGCTGGTCATGGGGCCCACAGGTGTGGAAGGAGGCCTGAGTGCTGTACCATAGAACAGGTTTTCTTGCTGCAACCTTTTGGGAAGTTTATAACCGGCTTATTTTTTTGTGACGCTAAAATATTAGGAGGACAACGGTTAAAGATGAACCAATAGCAGTAAAAACTGGCACAAAGAAAAACATAAGCTATTCCTTCAACACATTTAAAAATGGAATGGAGAGAAATTCAGGAAAATGGCAACAATCTTACCCAAGATATTCTATTCAAATGGTCTATTTAAATTCTAAACACTTTTGAAGCATAAGCCATTCAAATTGTCTATTATGTTACAAAAGTGTTTAGAATTTAGTAATAAATATCTTGTAGTTTCAAGTGTTTAGAAATTAGCAATAAATATCTTGTAGTCATGTTGTTCTCTTTCCATTCAGCTAGCCAGGCCCTGCTGGAGGCATTTTTAGAACACGCCCCAGTACCAGCTCCAGGCCCGTCAGCGCCACTAGCCGACTGAAAACATCGCAAGACGAGAAGCACTGGACAAAAAGCAGCTTTTAAAAATGGTGAATCACTATTCAGATTTCCAATGGAGCCACCATTTATGGAGGTGTCACTAACAGTCCCACGAAGAATGAAGGCCCTTTCCAAGCTCAGTCAATCAATACAAAATGAAACTTATTTCTACCCCACTGCACGGCCGAAGCTCTCTGAGCTATTTCGGTGCGTACCTCAAGCAGGTAGCGCAAAGAGTAGGGCAGAAGATTCCGTAGGGTGAGGGTGGGGTACAGGTGAAGGATGTAGGCTGGGTCCCAGCTCTCCCCATGGGTTGCAATGAAGTTGAGTTCGTCGGGCACGGCAGCGGTGTTCACAATCAGAGGCAGCAAACTGACTTCCGTGGACGGGCACCGCAGCACGCTCGTGACCTCCCTGCTCCTGTGCAGCGCCTCCCTCCAGGATATGCAGGTGGTCGACGGCTCAAACCTGCCTTGCAAGGCCCCACCGGGCTGGACAAAGAGCTGGCACCTAAGGCAGAGCAGAAGCCCGGTCTTGAGAGGCTTTGTAAGTGCAGGAGTACCCCAGAAACCAGGCGAGCAAAAGCGCTTACCTGTACGAGTCTAGTGGGACGTGGAATTCCTCCTCGGGCTTCGACACGCCTATGGGCTGCAACAGGTCAGTGTTCTGAAGCAGCTTGTAAATTACAAATGGAATAGAGAAGTGGTTCTTGATCTGAAATGAGAAACAGCCCTTTTTTGCACGTTTGTGAACGAAATACACCCGGCACGGCTCATTCAGCCCTTCTGCCCTTGCTTTCCTTCTGCCCCCCTTCTCCACTGTTTCCCCTCCATCTGCGTGTCCACCCCTTTTGATTCTTCTTCAGGTCCCACATGCACAAATGGTGCTATATAACCACCACAACAGCACTCAGCAGATGCCATGTGATCCCACTTCGGAGATGTGCCAGGGGAATGCCAGTCCCCAGCCACGGGGCCCCTCTCCCAACCAGCACCCGACAACGAGCAGGGCACCTCACATTAAAACCCAGGAAGCGTGCGATTTCCCAGGTGACGTTTTTGCAGCGTGCCCTGGGATCCGAGTGCTTCGGCGCACACATCGTCCGTTCATTCAATGGGCACCAAGCGATCGTTTATTTACCTGCAGAGGCGAGCGTATGGTGATAACTTTGTTGCCTTCCTCCGCATCCGTCTGTACCAGAACGGAGTCCGAGTGGTCGTGGCAAGGATTCCTGACGTTGTGCAGCCTTCTGCCAGGCTTGGTTATGGGGACGCCGGCTACCTCCGTGTATCCTTCAGGCGCTGTTTGCAACAGTGAGGTGGCTTAAGGAACCCTGCCCCACCATACTGGGCTTTTTTTCCTAGCACTGATTTGGGCAGTTGTGTTGCAGTTCCTGAAGATTAAAAGGCTGGCACGTAATCTATCAATCTATCTTTCTTGGAGCCAAATCCTTTCAGGCCAGTACAGGATAAGAAAACATCCAAAACTTCCTTGGCAGTGACGTGCCAGCTTTTAGGTAGAGGGGCCCTAAGTCCAGTCTCCTACTTGAAGTGCCAGCCTACGTACAGATTTTCACTTTTATTTGTCATGCATCTAATCCTCTGTTTCCTAAACTGATGCCTGTGTCTTGTTTTCCTTCTCAGTGTGTGGAACAATTCCAAAGTAAACTCAAAACTGCTCCACACAGTTTGCTATGCAATGGGTTTGCTGTTCAAGCCAATACCCAGGCTAATACTGATAAAATTAAAATTATTCTAAATCCTACCATCCCCATAATGTTCATGTTCAGAATTTTCTCTGTAAAGGTAAAGCTCAGAATGAAAATGGAGGACAATAGTCTCACTACTCCTGAAATAAGCATTGCTGAATAGCAGCCCTCAGCTCAGAACCACAAAACCCAGGCTGATGTAGAACTGATGCTGCATGAATTCCAGGTGTTCTGTTGGACTGAGTGGCACCGTGCCTTTCCGCAAAGAAAATGGCACTGAAGGCAAGGACCTCGAGCTTTCCCGCTCCTCTTACCGAAGGTCAGCGTGAACAGAGAGCTCTCCTGGCGATGCAGGGCAGACAGCTTCCCTTTGTGCTGGGACTCGAGGGTGGAATAGTCCAGGTCTAAGTGCTGGCCGGCTCCTACATCATGAATGTCATCGCTTGCGGTCAACCCGACGACCTGGAGATTTCTGCACGTGTGCACCTTCACAGGAATGCCCAGAGCATTCTTCACAGTAAACGGAGCCCTGTCCTTCAAAGCATAGTCAAAAGTGGAAGCAGTGCCTTCCGAGAACCCCTAAGGCGAAGGAGACAAGGCATCCGTCAAGAAGAGCCAGGCTTCGTGGATTGCGAATCCAGATCAGCTGCCACCAGTTGTCTCCAAGAGGGGCACAGCCAGTGGGACACCAGCTCCCTCCTGTGTGTGGGGAGCCACGAAGAGAGGGCTGGCAGCCCAGCCTTGGCCGAACAGCTTCTCTGCATCCTCGAGCCTCATCCAGCAAAACCGAACCAGTGGTTGCTCTGGAAACCTCCGCGAATGGAACCGTTTGAACTGCAGCGAACCAAGTAATGACGGACGTGAGCATCACTGGCCGCAGAGCTCAGCACGGGGTGCTTCCACACCACCCACCACTCCTCTCCCTGGCTGGGGTGGCAGCAGGTCGCCAGCCGGGGGAGAGCTACCCAGCCTTCTGAGAACAAAGGAGATGGACTCTGAACCTTACGACGCATGCAAGGCTACCTTGGCTAGATTGCTAAAGACGGCCAGCGAGCACTTGGATATGGTGATATTCATGGTATCCTTAGAAGAGATATTTATGACCGTCTGGGGATCCGGTAGCACAAGGAAGTCGTCTCCAGGCAACAAGCCTTTATCTTGCACAGGGTTTGTGTTCATCTGGAAGAGAACAGCAGCCGGTCGAAACATTGCCACCTTGATCTGCGCAAGCTGGAGAGTGGAGGCAACGATGCAGGCAGCCCTTCCATCCGGGCTCCCTTTAAACAGCCGTCCCGCTTCTCTCGCCAGTGCATGGCCAGCCGAATGCTAGTCTCAAGCCACGTTGTTAATGGCACGGTCCCGAGTCCCCTGTGCGTGAGGGACAAGGCGAGCTGACTGCGAGCGGCAGTCTTCGCTGCCTTGTGCCAGCATTTCATCAAGACCCCAGTTTTCAGCCTCCGAGATGAAGCACCAGGGAACAGAGGAGGCAGGGGTGCTGCTTGGGTACAGGGAAAGCCACTGGCCCAGCCTCCCGTGAAGCATGGCCCTTCAGCCCTCTGTGGGGCTCAGTTCCAGACTTGGAGGGATGACTGGCAAGACTTTCCCAGGCTGGCTGAGAAGAAGCGTGGAGGGCTGACACTGGGAGTCCCCGCTCCTAAGTCGCAGAGCTGGGGCTCCAGCCCCCTCCCCAGAAAATCAGGGCACCTCTGGGCAATGTTGGGAGACCATTTGGCTGTGCCCTGAACCGCTATTAATGTTGCCACTTTAGATAAAATGAAGATGATAAATGGATCATCAAGAATTTTACAAATGAACATTTTAAGGAGCAAGAAGGCTTTTGCCAGCATGGACTTGGTCTAAGATGCATAAATATTTGCTTTAGAAGTTTAGAAGAAGCTTGCCAACATTACATTCTTTTTGGTGCCAGGCAAAAACCTTTTAATTTGCCCAACATTTTAATATTTAATTATTTTAACTAGAGTTTAACATTGTTCTGCTCAGCTATGCTCTCTGTTCACTTGTTGTGTTATGTTGTATTTATTTATTGTTTGATTTGTGTAGGGTTGTAAGCTGCCCTGGGATGTTTTGTAAAGGACGGGGTATACATATTGTTAAAATAAAAAATAAAAATAAAAAAGTTTCTAATTCATAAAGTTACTAAGGCCTTCCCGCTCTCCATGCTTAGAGTCTTGAATAACAAGCGCTGCAAGAGGAGCTGAGCATCTCAGTAACTTGAATACACTCCATTAGTGAAACAGCACAGGGTTGAAGTTTAAATATCTGGGTTTAATCCTGGCGTAATGGAAGCATATGGCAGTGTGCATGCTGCTGCCCTGTATCCCGTCAGCCACTCCAGATGTTTGCTGACTTACAAGGAAGGCCAGCTTTGCCAAACGACCTCATGGCAAATATCAACTCTTCGTTTCTAGCGGGTTGCAAAGACCACAAAAGATTGAAGCTGCCAATTTTAAAAAAAAGTTTGCCTACCTCTACTGTTAAGTTCCACTGGCGTCTTTCTTTGTCGACTCGCTCAATCAGGGGCTCCCAAACAGCATAGGTTTCGTTGTAATAGTGAACCTGGAATACAGCAAATTACAGCATCAAACCTCTTAATTTTGATTTTGATAAACTGTACCCCAACTTTAGGACCACATAAACATAGAAGCAAAGTTCTACATGGGAATCAACCCCCAAAACTAATTGGCAACAATCAGCACTTGACCGAGTAACAACAGGATTCAACAAAAGCAACGTTCAGACATCATACGCGACGCATCGCTTACATTCACCCACCTCGAGGGTCACGTCTGCAGTGGCAGCCATGAGGGAAGACCAGTTCTTCACCGTTCCGCCCAAAGTAGATTCTACTAGTAGCAGCGGAACGGTACGATGACCCAAACCGCACTCCAGGGTGATCTGGACAGAGGCAATGTGCAGCTCACAGTTTTCCTTCTCCCTCTCCTGCACGCCTTCTTGGGGGGTTTCAGTCGCTTCTGTGGCCATGTCAAACCCAAGAAACCAGTGCCGACACTGGTCGACAGACCTGGTCTCCCAGAGATTCCCCGTTCCGCAGGTGGCCCCTTCGGATTCTTCATCCTTCGGCTTCGGCTTCATGGCAGCCAAGATCGTCATCACAGTATTGAGAATTATTGGCGAAATCTTGAAAAGGAAAGCAAAGCTGCATTTTATATAGTGTGCGTGTGTATCGAAAGGTAGATGGGTCACCTTACACCACTGCTCAGCACAGTATCCACCAACTGGACCATGCAAGAAAAGAGGCTGAAATCCAAAGAGCAGCCCTGCTGGATCAGACGGAAGGCTCATCAAGCGCGGCATCAGGTTCTGGCGGCCCAGATCCACAAGCAGGTGGCACGCCTGCTGCCACACACTCCCCAGCAACGGTCGGGTAGGGACAAAGTGCTCGGGATCCGGGAGATGATCTCTAGCCGCCAGGACTAGAAGCCACTGAGTGGCACAAGCTGCGTGAAATCGGTGACTTTCTATCCATTTCCCTCATGCCAACAATTGCTGTTTCCTTGCGTGTGCTGGACTGTCTCTGAAGGGGAGAAGCAGTACTGCAATGGACTGAAAAGCTCCAAAGACAAATCAAAGCAGGATTGTGCGACTGACAATCAGCATCAACAATTACTTGGCAAGACAGAACGGAGATGAGCTGGTGCGGGTGGAGAATATTTGCACGCCTGGGTACAGAACTAGGGCAAATGCCATGAAATGCCCCAGCAGCGGCTGCCGCGCACCAACACCCTGAACCAGCCGGTGCCAAAGCATTTCCCCTTGATCAGCACGTAACCTAAAAAAAAAGCCGGCCCACCTCTCCAAACCAAAAGCAATGCACAGAAAACCAGGGCTATCTTCTCCGCAACAGATAGATTTGAAAGCAGCATTCTGGAAATACAGGAGTAATGAAGTCAATACAGTAAAGGCTGACCCACCTTCACAATAAATTCATCTAGTGACAGAATCACAGATGTCACTCCTGAACTATCCATCTTGGCTTCCATAATTAAAGAGCATGGCTGCACAACCTTGGACAACACAAGCAAAAAATAAAATTTTAAAATTTAACACACATACATACACGTGATTTTTTTAGAATTTGATATAGCAACAAAACTAAAGTTCACTAAAGCAACTTGTTTTAGGAAAAATGAATGCCAAGCAGCTCGTAAAATCTATTCCTTTCTGTGGCAGGAGGAGCAACGAACTAACTAAGGGGCAATTCGTTCGCTGGCTTTGGGTAGGCATAGCCAGGTACCTTTGGAGGGCTCTCTCTCTTCTACGGCCTCCTCTCATTCTCTCCCTTGCCTGGCACAGCCGTGGCGAGAAGGGGCCCGGAGGTATCACTGCCTGGCTTGCTCTCCATCAAGCAGCCCAGCAGCTGCAATGATGCAGAAGAGGAAGCTGAGTGACAGTGGCTGGAATGTCATGGGGGGAGCCAACCCCCTGAGCAAGGGCCTGCTGGGCAGATCTTGCCCTCAAGCGCTTGGAGCCAACTCTGTTAGCAAAGCAAGGCAAACCAGAGGCACGGGCTGCCAGGAGCAAGTGTCGGATGCAAGTCTGAGGGCCCCTTTGCCGAACGCAACCAACCACCAGGCAAGCTTCGTGGACGCTGCAGGCCTCAAGAAGCAGCATCCCGAGATCGTGCCGTGCAAGGGGAACGGAGACACGGAGCTACCCCTCTGATTCTGCGCCCAGCCACACGTGGAGAAGCAGCTCCCCGGCACGGCGAGGAGAGGGCAAGCAGGCCGCAGGAGGCGTTCCCACGAGCGCAAAGCTGCTTGCCAGGTGCGGGGACGCACTTACCGTGGTGACGTTCTTTTCCCCTTTCTCTCGCAGGAAGGGGCAAGCCAGCACTTTGAGGTCGAGCACCTGGGCGGTCATCTGCCGAGCGTGGGGGCCGCTGGACAAGCTGAAATCACACTGGAACGAGGCTGCTAAGGCCGGAGCACCAGCCTTTGTCAAGTTGGCGACAAACACGATTTCGGGATCCATGATCCGTGCTAAGATGGTCATGTTGGGCCATGGAGATCCATCTATAAGGTTTAAATTCAATTTATTATTGACCTAGCAGTAGAATCAAACGTATGCACTGACATTTTTATTGCGGCAGCATTGCATTTCCGAAAGTTCACCCTTGGTTTGCACTTGGGAAAGAGAGAGAGAGAGAGAAGGAAAGCAGAAACAAGCAGGCAAAATTCCCACTGGATTCTAGCTCTTCTTCCTTGTGCCAATAGAAGGATCCATACTATGTTACGAATTCCTTCTCAAATTCCCCCCAGGGGATCATAATCTTACTTTTCCAGAAACTTCACGGACAGCTCTCACAAAGCCATATTTGATGCACAAAGACCCTGGCCCACACCATCATAAATCTTGGGTGAATCCAAGGAGCTTCAACATGGCAGCTGTGCTTATGGCTTTTGGAGTAACAGCAGCAATCCCGAGATGCGCTATCTTTGCTGACCTTTCTCCGGCCGAGGTTTTCCATGGGTGGTGTGCTTTAACTGAAACTGGGTAGATGCTTCCGGTGAGGCTGCAGGCACTGACTTGACAAAGAAATCAGCTACCGTCAATAGGAACTCCACGCTGGCGCACAGGTACAGCTTGTCCAGGACAGCAACGATTTCACTCCTGCTTTTATTCTGCTTGTAGTTGATCTCGATCATGACACTGTCCATTTCACCGTCTTTCTTATCTATCATCCTGAAAAATCAACGCATGGTCAGGATAAAGCAGCTGCAGAACGGATATGCCAACACCCATCATGAGGATCCGTCTTTCACCTTTCTCGTTTGCTTTTTATTTCTGCCAAACTACTTTTGATGAAGTGGTGTATGAAAAGGATACGAAAAGGCAGAACCTGCCACGCTTAAGACGGCAACATGGGAAGTGCCTCGTTGACTCAGACAAAAGGCCCGTTGAGTCCAGCGTCCCGTTTGTGCGGTGCCTGGCTGCCATTTGTGAGAAGCCCACAAGGAGCAGGAAGTGCACTGGTGCGTCCACATTTGTGGTCCGCGGCAACTGCTACACAGAGAGAGACTGACACCACCGGTGGCCAAATTTAGTCTGTGATCTACCACTATCAACTGCTCCCCTCGGTTGTCTGCATGGTCTCCTAGACCAGCGGCTCCCAAACTGTGTTCCGCAGAACCCCAGGGTTCCACAAAAGCCTCACAGGGGTTCTGCAAAAAATCTCAAAAATCAAATTTAAAACAAGTTTCACGATAGAATCACAAGGCCAACTATTCGATCGTCAGTTGGCTTCCAAGCAGCAAACCAGGAAATGCATCCCATCATTTGGTTTCCAGGACTCTGTTGTGCAGTGTTGGAATAATCCAAAGAATTCGTTTGGGATATTATCATATAATCACTTTATTCATTTGTTATATTTAAAATGTTTTCCCTTTATTTCCAAACCTACGACATTATGCAGAGCACTCAGACAAGAGCAGCAGATGAGGACAGGTGTTGAGGGTTCACAATGCTTAGTAAAAATCAGGGATAGAATTAGGGTTCCACAAAAATAAGCGTCTCCAGAAAGGTTCCATGACCAAAAAAGTTTGGGAACTGCAGCCCAAGACAATAAAGCTTAATGGGGGGGGGGGCAATCTGGTTTTTTTCATGTATGACACATAGTTATGGTAAGAGCTCTCAAAGTATTAATCATGCTATCTCTCAGTCTCTAGAATCCACAGGCAAAAGGAGGTGTTAGGAAACATAGCAAGGTAACTCACCTAGAAGTTGCCCTCAGGATCCCTTCCCGCAGATCATCCAGCGTGCATGTTTTCAGCTTGGTATTGAAGTCTAGAGAGCCATTTGAAAACATCTGCCCAGATGACCTCATGAGGTGCAGCCGGAGCTCCCCCAGGCGTGAGCTCTTGTTGTGCAGGGAAAGCTGAGATTCCTGCAGTGTGCAAGAAGAGCCAAGACAAGGAGTTGCACGTGGAGCCCGGAAGACTCTCCGGAAATGCTTTGCTATCCTCTAGCTCGGTGCAGTACAGAAAAGCACAAATCCTTTTCAATTGGGTTTTAAGTTTACAAAGGGAAAGAAATGCCAATCCAGGGACCTCTCTTGTAAAAGCTGCAATGCTTATCATGAACAAGGAACGGAAATTAGAATGGCAACCCAGAATCTGGTTCTCAAGTGTGTAAAACCCCTCTGTCTCTGATGCTGCACCATGCGTGCCAAAGTTTATGTTGCCAAATTGCCCCAACTAGCACACTGGGGCATGTGCCACAGGCCTGGCAGTACTAAATGTCTGGTGAAAGATTCCCCAGAGCAAGCTTGCACTTCACCTCCGTTAAAACACATTTCTGCATAGAGATATGAGAGGGAGAAGGAGGCGTGCAAAATAAAAAAGGAACGGAGATTAAAAAATAGAGAGGAAGAGGAATGACTTGAGCAGAAGGGAGGCAAGGGGGGAAGTGTGGAGCTGCATGGGAAAATCAATCAGGCAATCCACGGAACGTGTTTTGCCAGCCACCCATGCTAAATTCAGCTGACTTTGTCTTAAAATGATGGGATAGCATCCCACATTAGGTTGCTCTGATTCAGCCTGTATGTAGCAGAGACAAACAAAACTAATTTACATGCCAGGATGTCACAGACCTGATCAACGTCGGTATTGTAGAGCACAATGGAGAGGGATTCAAAGTTAAAGTGAAACTTGAGTGTCACATTCTCCTTCGGGGGAGTTTCACAAAGATCTTTCTCTCCTGAAGCGGTCACCGTACCTGAAATATTTAGGAATGAAAGATGCATGCTCAAGGCAGCAGCAGTGTGGCCCCTGAAGATGAATGCTTTGAATTATTCCCATTTAATAATTATAAAGAGATACGTAAAATGCTCAAAACCCCTGCTCAAGGCTTCATGTTTCTATTTTACCTTGCTGATGATCATGGCAAAATAAAGAGCTTCTGTCAGACCCCAGTTTACAAAAAAGTAGCTCAGCTTCGGGAAGAAAAATACCTTTGCCGAGATCAGCAACAGCTTCACTTTTGCCCCTTTGGAATTTCTGCCCCGGAGCTTCTGGCAAGGTCGATGGTGCGACCCTGGCGCCTGTATCAGCAAGATTTTCCAACAAGATTTTCATGAGCAGTGTTAAGTCATCTTGGCAGAGGGAGATCTGCAAGGTAGGAAAATCCATTATTCGCATCTAGGAAGCCCATTTCCAAAGCAAAACACAACAGATTGCAATTCCCATCTTCACAGCCACCCTTAACAAATGCGGGACTGATTCCCAGTCCCTGTGATGCATTAATGCGGGTGAAGTGGGCCAAGGAATGCCCGCTGGCTTTCCTGGGGTCACAGCGCTTGGGGGAAAGCATCACAGAAACCGCTCTGGTTTTATGGGCGTTTGGCCCTGCGAACATGCGCCTGGGAAGAGTCAGGAAAAGCAGTCTGACCTGGAGAGGGAGGTATGCCTAGCTGCAAAATGCTTTGTGAAAGAAGCCCCTTTTGCAGCAACAGGAGCCTTGGTGCAGCCAAGATCGACGTAGTCCAAGCTGGACTCGCCCCCCCCGGCTTCACCTGCATGGCATGTGGTTCTGTCACGATCTTCCAGGACCTTACCTCCATAGCCTTTAAGTCCCCCTCGATCGCAATCCCCGGGATCTGCGGATACCATGCTGCGGCCAGATTTCTCTCCACCGACAGAAGCATATTTACTGGCTGCAAAATTTCAATCTCTGGCTGAGCACCACTGGCTATTACGGTCCTGCAAGGCAAGGGGAAGGGACGATGGGAGGCAGGCCCATGTGGACGCAGGTGCCCCAGTCAGAGCCAGGCCCTGGTCCATCCAGCCTAGCAGCACAAGCTTTGGCTGGCTGCACGACTCCAAGGCCTACCAGGTCCATCTTTCCCTGTGGGTGGATCACTCCCCCCCGGAGAGACTGCGACTTGGACCTGGGGTTTCCGGCACCAAAGTTTATGCTCCGTCACGGATGGAGCAATGACCTCCCACCTCAGTCTTTTGATAACCAACTGGATACTACGGAGAACACAAATATATAAAGCTTCATGTTACTCATCTCTGGAAAGCCACTTCATTCTTATTCTTTTTTCCTTTTTTTGCTTCCCATTAATCAAACCCAGCTGCCACCTTCAGATGACCCACCCCTATAACTATTTCCATGTTCCGGTTGGGAATCAGCTTTCCTGAGCTATGTTAAAGCAGCGTCCCATGGCAAAAATCCCACTAAGCTGATCGTGGAAAGTTTCTGTGTGCTCCGCTCTCCCCCAGTGTGACATCTGCCTTATTGTTTTCTTTCGGCCAAGGATTCTATTCAAGCGAGAAAGGAGAGTGCAGCACTTATACCTTGACATTTTTAAGTGAGTTAGATGCACATCCATTTTGTCAATCACAGGGGGATTAGAAGATTCCACTCCAGGGACCAGGCTGAACCGATTCCGGACTGTGATCAAGCCAAGGTCGGCTACCAACACGTTGTAAGACACAGACGACTGTGGGATCAATATAACTGGAGCTTTCAAATCGATGTCCACGGAAAGGCGAAAGCTCTTCTGAGCAAAGTCCTTCATACTGGAAGCAGCTTTTTCTGCAGCTTGGACGGTGGCAGCACCCAGGGCTTCTTTTGCCGTTTGGAAGTTATTTAGGAAGTTCTGTGGAAAGGCAGAATGGTCCGTGTCATAAATGAACAGTCCCTCCAAGCCGCAAAGTTAATCAACTGACCGGACTGGACAGTATTCAGCCCCAGACGACGACATGTTCCTTACAGCCTGGCAAGACGTGTTCACGTGATGCAGCAGTGAGCAAACAGCACCCTGATTTCTTTTCCGGTTTTTGGTGGCAGGTCAAGGATTCACGTGCCTGAAACCTCGATGTGGCGTCCCACTCTTGCCAAGGCTCATGTCCCATCAGCACCACGCCCACAAAAGGAAAGAGGCAGGGATGCGAAAGGATGCTGCATGTTCCAGGCAACGGGGGGGGGGGGTTGCATTTCTCAGGCTTCATCCAGAAAAAAAAGTGAGTCTTTGTTTGGGAACAGCTTTTAGGACACATTTTACAATGGAAATGCGACACCAATGAGAAAGAGAGTACCATGTCTTACCAGCAGTGACATGAAGAACTGATGCAGGTATACAATCTGAATGCAGCCCACTTTCAGGGACACCTGGCCATCCACCTTGGAGGTGTCACTGTACGCCTCTCCCTCCGTCGCGTCAGGATAAAGCGACATGGCAAATCGGAAGACTTCGTCTCCCACGATCGAGACCGTCTGCAAAGACCACATTCACCACAGTCAGGTTCTTGCAGGCCTCATGCCTGTTATGATGGCGCATCTTATTTTGCCCTTTGGCCAGAAAAGGCTCTCAAAGCAGCTTGCAAAGGTTAATCGCAGGTAACCCCTGCCGTTGGCTTTGTCGTCGAAATGAAGTGGCATGAAAAAGCTAAGTACTGAGGAGGGAGGAGGGGAAAAACCAGGGCAGGCATCTAAGTATTTTCTTTCTGGCCCGGTGGGAAGTGAGCTTCTGCAGCCACCTCTCTGGCCAAAGGAGGGGCCCAGGTTGCTTCCCCCCAGTTCCGATGCTCTTCTAGGGAGGCAAAAGGTGCCACCTCCCAGCAGCCTTTAGCAGCCTTTGGTCCCCGGCCGATGGCATGGCTGAGCCATTGCTTCCCTCTACCTCTGCAGTACATCTCTCAGAATTTTTTTCATCAGGTTGTGGCAGGTATTTTAGAAATAGGAGCTTCAGAAGACATTAGGAAAAATAAGGCGCAGGTCCTTCAACAAACGAAAGAGCACCTTAACTATAAACGGAGTCTGCACAGTGTTTAAGCATCACCCAGCCGTGTTTCCAGATCTCTTTGCTGCTACGCGCACTCGAAGTGCGTTCGTGACACACACGCTCCACCTCAAGCCGCAGCCGTCCGGCACCCAAGTGAACCTGCATGCGGCCACACATGGACTTCGGGAGGAGAGCAGGCTGTGACGTGCCACGAGGCACCCGGCCCCTCGGCCAGGGCCAGCTTCTCCACCTGGCGAGCGGCAGGTGGGCAGGGAAACGCGCGGGGAAGGAGGCGCAGCCCCACCCCACTTCTTGCCGCTACTGATTCTCCTTCCGTTTTTGCTGACTTCCTTGAACCAGGCGTCAGGCGAAAACCTTTTTATTTTCCCGTCATTTTAATGCTTAATTGTTCTTAACTGGGGTTTTTATTCTACTCATGTTTTACTGTAAACCATCCTGAGACACTAGTGGTAGACAGGTTAGGAAAAGTGTGTAATCAATTAATTAATCCATCCATCCATCCATCCATCCATCCATCCATCCCGCCCAGGATGCACACGGGGCTTGCCCGCCACAGCTGTGCAACACATTTCTGAAACTCACCTTTTCATGAACTGTCTTGGGGTCCACGTTTGTTATTACGAAGTCCTGAAGCCTGGCAAAAACCTCCGTCTGCTTCACCGTGGTAAAAATAGATGCCTCCATACCTAAACAGGACAAAAATCAAAGGGGGGAAATTCAGCATTTGAGTACCAAAAGCAATTTGCTAAGACACAGTGGGGCTCCTGAAGGGAGGAGCACGTAGCTATCCTGTGGTGAGCAGCCCTCCCCTGCTCCTGTCGCCCCCGGCCCGCCCGGAGCTGCTAACCTGACAGCAGAGGCCAAGCCAGACTGCCACAGTCCTGCTTGGTGCTGGGGGCCCGGGCGAGCAGCTCTGCACTCCCTCCAGAAGCCCAGAGCACAAGAGCGTCAGCCGCTGGAAGCCGACGGCTCGCCTCCAGATGCCAACTCCACCGCCCAGAACCGCTTGGGCAGAATTAACCTCTCCGTTAAGCGAGAACTGGCCTTCATTTCAGGACACATGCTGATCCTACCCATTCAAGCACTCAACGGGGGTTGCACTTGCAAAAAGACAGGAGCAATTCTCCCTGCTCCTTACAGCATTCCAGTCGGAGGGAACTTGCCTTGGATCCGGATGTCGGCGATGTCTCCCCACTGATCGCAGACCCGCACGTTGAAGGCGCCCAGCGCGGCGGTGAGCTTCAAGTCAAACACGTCGCTCTGCGCTGCAGCACCGGGGGCTGTGCGGGAGGAAGGCGCCTGTGAGAAGGCCAGCGGCCACAGAGCCGGGAGGCACCCCTTCACACACCCCACCCCCAAGTCTGAAAAGGGAGTGACTCGAGGCCAGCATCAGTTTCCCTTTCTGAACCTTGCAATGGGACTCCCTACGCATTCGTGGCAATTTGCACAGTGTTTGTTTTCTCCAGCTGGGAGGCCAGAGGTCTGGAACGGCCACTCAGACACGCAGCACGTGAGCCAGGACTCGTAAAGCTTAGCCTGTGCGGAAAGCCCTTCAGGACGAGGCCTTAGCTCGGTGGCGGAGCGCGTGCTTCGAGCGTAGCGTGCGGCTCGCCCTTTTCCTTCCCCTGCTAAAGCCATCGGCAACTTGCAGATGAATTCATCCCCGCAGGCCTTCATTATCGGAGTTCAGAGAGCGGGGCTGTGTTAGAATACCTGGTTTCGCGGGGACAGCTTTGGGCTCCTCCACCAGCGTCTTCGCCCCCGCCCCCTTATCGGTAGCTGCAAGGCCGCTTGAGGCGTAAGTGAAAAGGTTCATGATGGAAAGCAAGGCCTCTGTGTGCAGCAACAGGTCTAGTGACGAAAAAGACACCTAAGGGAGACATCAGAGGAGCCAGTGAGAGCTTAACATTAGCTCTTCTCTTACATGACCCTGCTCTTTCTTTACTGTTTTGCAGAACATTTACGATATTGGGTTTTTTTAAGAGGCGACACCCCAAGCACACCTTGCTCTGGGCAAACAGCTCAGCAGTCCAGCTCAAGACTTACTTTTAACGCCTGCTTCGTACTTTCGTAGACCTTCTCAAACTGCGGCCCATCCGGATCGGCCTAAGCAAAGAACCGAAGCACTGGGTTACTGCATGAGCTGAAGTAAGGCCAGGCCGTGGCCATTTTCAAGCAGAAGGCCCTCCGTACCTAATGCCACAGGCAGCTCTGGGCACATGTCCCAGTCCACTCTCTCCCTATCTCTGCACATGCACGCAAACACCCCCTTGCTCACCCAGACCAAGCCTGGGGGCCTGAGCTGAGGCTGTCACAGAAACACATCGTCGCCCGACTGAAAGGTAAGCATCTTTTGGAGCCCTAACTGGAGACCGTTATAAAGAGTGTGATTGTGCTCTTCGCATGCCTTGTGACGTGATTTATACAATCCCGCCATGCAATGAATTGCTTTTACGTGCCACCGCCTCTGGCTCGAGGTGGCCCTATGAACGGACGCTCTCCAAAATGTCCTGCCCTTTACAGCTCTGCTCAGCTCCTGTAAACGTGGAACAAACATGCACAGATAAAATCAGTCACCTTTATATACTCCAGCTTTAAAAGATGCTTGCCAGTTTCATCTGAAGAACTAATGATATTCAGTGGATCCCCTTTGGCATCTGTAAATAAAAGACAAGGTGCATTTACAGGTCCCTGAGCTGCTTACCACCACAATATTTATTTCGCAAGATCGTTAATGCAACCAACTCTGTAATTTGGCAAAGAGGGGTCTTGACTAGCTCGCTTTAAAATCAGAGCATCTAAACACAGCTGCAAATAACCCGATGGACAGGGAATCAATGCTGCAATGCAGAAATGGGGCTTGTCAGAAGGCGTGGGGGACCGGGGCCACGCAGAGAATTGCCTGCATCATCCAGCTGCCCTCCTCTGCCACACACTCTATTGCGCCACACTCACCGGTGAATTCCAGGCATTTCATTTCAATTTTTTTGAGATATGCTGTAGCTGTCATATCGTGAGTTTTAACTCGGCTTTCTGTTCCAAGCTGCAGCACTGTTAATATATGCAAGGGGAAGCTCTGCTTCTCGACCTGTTTCATCAACCTTACTACAACCTGAGGAAGAAAATAAAAACGTATTAGAGGAACTGCATTATAATTAGAGATGATCTCAAGGGGTTGTTCTCTCTCCAAAAAAGCATATTTTACACAGCAAAAAGGCCCACTGTAAGAGACTGTTGTTTTAAGTTGATGAGAAAGGTAGAAATCCCACCCAAAAGCACTGATGGTTAGGCTTACAAAACAAAAAAGGTTCCGTACCCTTTGAATTTCGAAGTTAAGCAGCATACTGGTAATGTCTTCCTTTAACACTTCTTTTGATGTGCCAAATACGCTACCTTCTGATGGAATACCTTTCTCAGCTCCCAGCAACTCTGCCATGTCTTTTGTGCCACCTGTGAATTATAAGGACAGATTAGTTCCACTTCAGAAGAAGCATGATTAGAGTTCATTTGCCAAATACTTCTAGCTGTCTTTAATTCTGTCCTAACCAACCTGGATTGTTAAAAAAATAATGCCTGCTATTTTTGTGCTCTGATGCAACCATTTCTCCTGCAAAGTATTTTTCAATATTTATTATTCCTCAACAAAAACCATTCATAATATGGTGTTGCCCACTGGGATTTATTCACTTTTTAAATAAAGAGACTGCCTGTGGATTGTCAGGTATACTTTAATTAAAATGCTTCTAATAAAGGTAACTAACAAAGCGGCTTTAGTTATCCGGGGAAAAAAGAAAACAAAAAAGTCTTGTTCAAGCAGAGAAGGCAGTCCTTCCTTTAGCTTTACAGTATTCATTGGTGCTGACTGAATAAGTTAAAACAGCCTTGAAGCTTTTATCTAAAAAGAATATCATTTGTTCAGGAGATTCAAGGCCTCCTGTGATGGAAGGACTGCTTCTTCCCCATGGCTATGAAAGGTCCTAGAAATGAAAGGAGAAATCTCAAAGAAAAAGCTGTCTACAAAGAAATGAGAACACGCACACATTTTACCTTGAAGACTTGACAGATATTAACTTCTTACCTCCAATTTGTGCTCTCGGTTTGGCACCGCTCATACTTTCATCTGCTTCAGCAAGGTTTTCTGTCACTACTTTAAGCAGAACATTCAAGTCCTCTTGATTTAGGATAATCTGAAAGGTAGTGTAGAAAATCAGTCTCTCTCTCTTTAATCAAAATGGTCAACCTCCAGTGAAAAGGAATATACTAAGCTATCCACAAGAGGGGTTATTCACCTGGAAAGCCTGCCTTTGCCAATAAATTGTGACTAAGGGACACCCTAATACATGCGATGGCTTCCTCAGTTCACCCCAGATTTGTCAACAGCAAAGCATACAGTTCGTGGCTCAAAAGACTGGAGGATAAATCAAAGTCAGTTATGGATGTTCTGGGGATAAAGGAAAAAGATGAGTGCGGCACTCACCGTTGCTTCTTGCGCTGTATTGTGGAAAGCCCCTAACAAGCAGAGAACTCTTAGGGGCATTTGTGGATAGAACTGGCAGTAGCTTGTGATTCTGGCAGCGCCCCGACAATTTTCCTACCTAAGCCAGATGGGATGATCCCAGGCACTGTGCCGGAGTCTCCACTGCCTAGGGCCTAACATCTTCCCAAAAGTTCTGTGAAAATAGCAACTGGTACACAGGCACACCTTTGAAAGAGAAACTGACTCACATTCATTTCATCGAGACGCCCTTTGATCTCCAGCACTGGTATTTTGTGATACCATGTTCCAGCGAGGTTGCGATTCACAGAAAGGTTCAGATTAATAGGATGGAGAATTTGGATGTCGGGCTGCGAGAAACCTGGCTGCAAGATGGTCCTAAGTAAAAATAAAGAGTGAGACTGAAGAGATCCCAAGCAGCATTCTGACGGCTCCAATTAAGCCATAAACAGAAAAAGAAAGCCTCACTCACCTCGACATCTTCAGCTGTGTCAACTCTACATTCATTTTATCCATGATGGGAGGCAGTGGGCAGCCCTCAGCCAGCACCAAGCTGAATTGGTTTTGTATCTTGATTAATCCAAGGTCGACTGCTACAGCGTTAGAGGAAAGTGAAGACTGAGGGATGAGGATAACTGGAGCCTTAAGATGAATATCCATGGCGAGGCGGAAGCTCCTCTGAGCGAGGTCCCTCACACTTGTGGCGGCCTTTTCCGCAGCCTGGACTGTAGCAGCACTCAAGGCCTCTTGGGCAACTTGCAAGCTATTCAGAAAATTCTGCAAAAAATGAAAGGTGAGGGGGAAAGACTGCTGTTTATTTCTTCTGTGCTGTATTTTGTTAGTTATATTGCATTCTTTCCTTCCCCCAAAGATGGCTGGAGAATATTGTTCTATTTTAATATTACTGAAAATGTATCCCATTAACACGACAAAATTAGAGGACTTCAGCAGAGATCTTGGGCACTCAGAGCCAGAATTCTTTCATGCCAATATTGTCAAGAGATGGCAGCAACAGAGGTAAAAGTTCTCTCCCTACCAGAGAGCCTGTCAGTCCACTGAAGAGGGATGTCCATCCAGAGTTACCAAAGAAATGTCTTGAGAGTTTCTGTACATTTAAAGCTAGGCCAAGCTAGGAATAGTTGCAGGATACCAAAACATTTGCTCTCAGGTTTTGAGAAGAGGCACAGAAAGGAAAATATCAGGTGTAACATCATGCTGAATTTTCTCTCTCAGCCCCCTGCAACCCAGAGAAACAACCTCTTTTCATCGCATCATCCAGCCTACTAATCCAATTGGACTTGGATCTCCTGCCCTCTACGAATGGAACCATTAAAATGAAGCCCCACTAACTGCCGGTCTTACCAGGAGCGACATAAGGAATTTGTGCAGATATATAATCTGAATGCAGCCCGTTCGGAGGGAAAGCGCCCCATCCACTTTGGACATGTCAGCATAGGCTTCCCCGTCAGTTGCATCCGGAAACAACACCAAGTTGAAACTGAAGACCTCCTCGCCGACGATAGAAACCGCCTGAAAAGGGAGAGTGTGCAGGCAATTTCACTTCCAGAGCTGTGTGCTTGCATGTCGCCCATGGTGCGGTGCTTCCGAACTCAAGCACATGCAGGGACCACCCAGCACCGTCGCAGAGGTTTGTGCGATCTTGGTGAGTAGATAGACCAGCTCAGGTGTGATGTGCAGGTAGTTCTATTCAACCCACTTTGGAGGCAGGATTCTTGGTGTCTGCTGACCTTTCCTACATCAAGTCTTTCAAAGCCAGCAAGCATTCCTAGACAGGAACCCCGTACTTTACAAACCTATTCATGGTATCCTAAAAGCTTCCAACTAGTCTGCATGCCTGGAATAGTGAGTACTGCATACATTTTCCCCACTTTGAAATCAGCCCTAATGAAAAACTGTTCCATGAGTGACATCAGATATTAAAATGAGAATCGCCTTAGCATGCGATACCTTTCTATGAATTGTCTTTGAATCGACATCTGTAACGATTATGTCTTTTAACCGTGCGTAGAATGTGGTCTGACTGGACTGAAGAAACAGAGATGAGTCAAGACCTGAAAGGGGAGAATTGGCACGTTCAGTTCCAACCGTCATGCAAGCCTAATGGTCCTGAGCGAGCGAGGCTTGCTTGAAAAAAATGCAAGGCTGTTAATAGGTGCAAAGATCAGCAGCCTAACATGTCAACAACACTGTGCCCACCTGGTTGCAAATACAGGTTTTGAGGCTGTTCGGGAAAAATATTTGAGACACAGGTTCTGTGTGTAGTCAGCCCTTGAGAATTACAATTCTAGCAGGACCTTTAGAAACTGCAGGCACCACCTCAACCTGACAGGGCCTGGGGAGTGTCTTACACCAATGGCCCAGGTTGCACGTTCGTTCCATGCTGTCTTTGGGGAGCCATTTCAGTGCCGCCTGGGGCCCAAAGTATGTCTCTTCTCCTCACGTCCTCTGCTTATTAATAGCCTTATGGCCCACCTATCATGCAACTCAATGCAGGGTGCACAGGACTGCCCGGATGGTCCCGACCCAGCCATCAACAAGACTAAGGCCTGCTCTCCTTTAGCATCTTGTGCTTTCAGACCATGTGGTGCTTTTCAGGTCCACCCGAAACTGTATTGCTTTAAAGCCATTTCAGTTTCGTGTGTTCAAGCTTGTTGCCTACCTTGCACCTGAGCCAGAAATAGGAACAAAAAGGAATTAGCCATAACCTGCAAAATTATTAGAATCAAGGCCTTCTGATATATCATGGGAAAGTTCTGAGCTCATTTTAAACACAGGATGTAAATAAGCCAACACCCCCCTCGCTTTCCCCTTTACCTTGAATTTTGATTTCAGCAATGTTGTTCTTCTCATCACAAAGATTTACACAGAAGGCATCTAACTGGGCGAGCAACTTGAAACGAAACACATCCTTGTCTTTGCAGGGCTTTGCCACTGTCAGGAAGAGATTTTTAGAACACTTTTTTACCGTGATGCAGATGGACCAGTGAGGGTAATCTTTTCTAAATGCAGCAACTGGATACAGGCAGAGAGATTTTTTAAAAAAACACAACCTTTCTTTGAGTCAGTCTCTTTATGCTGCTGCTCATCCAGTTTCTGCAGAGATGGGGCATCAGGAGCATCCTGGCCCCTTCCCGGGATGACCGCCATGAGATAGCTGATGGTTGAGAGAAGAGCCTGTGTGTGGAGCAGCACATTCAAGGACGAGAAAGCCACCTGTTTGGGGGACGGGGGAGAAAGAAGTCACATGAAACCTTCTGGCCATTTTAAGGAAAAGGTAAAGGTTTCCCCTGGACGTGACGTCCAGTCATGCCTGACTCTTGCGGGCGCTGCTCCTCTCCGTTTCCTGGCTGAGGGAGCCAGCGTTTGTCCCCAGACAGTCTCCGTGGCCATGTGGCCTGCATGACTAGACACCGAGGTGCAGGAACGCTGTTCCCTGCCCACCGAAGTGGCACCTTTTCATCTACTTGCATTTGCGTGCTTTCGAACTGCAAGGTTGGCAGGAGCTGGGATGGAGCAACGGGAGCTCACCCCGTCGTGCAGATTCGAACCGGCGACCTTTCAGTCAACCAACCCAGCAGCACAGCGGTTTAAACCACTGCGCCACCTGCATTGCTTTGGTCATTTTAGGCAGCCACATTTTGCTGGTTGAGAGAAAAATAAGGAAACCCGTGAAGGAAAAAAGCAGCAGCAGCAACCGGAAACAAATAGACGAAGATGCAAGTGTGCGTCCAGGGGACTGCACCAAGGAGGTAACCCTGGTCCATTTGGAGCAGTGGGGTCTTGTACCACATGAATGGAGATGCACCAGTGAACGGCCTTTCTGCTCTCAGGGCCAGAGCCCCAAGGAACCACATATGGCTTAACTCAAGATTTTCAGCTGCAAGGTATATAATGCAAGCAGACCGAGGTCTTTCACCTAGGTTTTGCTTACCTGAACCATTTGTTCAGTGTTGTCAAACACAGTCTGAAATTTGGGACCGTTCTTACAAGCCTAAAGGAAAAACCAGATGTGTTCCATAAGAGACAATCCCAGTATTGTATACACCAGCCAAAATGTAACAGTCGCTCTGCTAAAAACTTATATTATCAAACCGTATGCAATCAAAGCTTTTTTTTAAAGCACTTACCTTGGTATATTCTACTTTCAAGAGATCTAATCCAGGTTTATCTGAAGAGCTAATTAAATGAAGTGGCTGTTTTTTGCCTGCAAAAATAAATAATATGAACCATATTTTTATTTATTTATTCCCATTTATTTATTCATACTGCTCCATATTCTAGTATGTTGATTCCAGAATGAATGATAAATAAAAATAAAAATGTGTAAAGACCCAAGAGCAGACAGCACTGCATCAATAAAGCCAGTAACCAAATCAGCATTTAAGAGCAATTCAAAGCACTGGCATCTGCATTAAAATCAACAGTTTTTCTATTTTCTGCAGATCTATAGTTCTAACACCTTTCAAGATAATTGAAAGAACATAGCTAGTTCTACCAAAGAAATTCACTGAAAGCAGTGTAATTATTTCTTTGATTAACACAAGCAAAGAAAAGGAGCACTTTCTATCCATCATTCCCATATTTTATCCCTTGATTTACCATGGATTTCATGATAATCCAGGCTGATTTTCCTCAAATAAGATACGGCTCTTAAGTCATACGGTCTTACAACTGCTTCTGTTCCAAGCTGTTTTACATCAAATACAACGATCGTCTCCTCTCTCTGCAGTTGTTTGGTGAGTTCCAGCAGCACCTAAATACATAACGAAGTTCCAAATGCTTGTTTCAAAGCCACTGGGGGCAGACTTAGCCTTGGCATTCCAGAAAGGGGGAAAAGCCTTACAGGACAACCCCTGGCAGATGCAGCCTTGGAAAGGCATCCCGTCCTCCGTGCGAGGGAAGGGAGCACGCCTCGTCTGAGGTCACGCGTCCGCTTGCTTTTAAAACAATCCCAAGATGCGCTAATCCAGGCAAGGACGACTGTGGCTGTCACGGTTTGTGCACCCCGGCGCCGAAAGGGAGCACGCGGGACCGCTGCGCCCTGTAGGAAGGCGTGTGGTGGGCACGGCCAAGCCCCTGCACACCGCCTTGCCCTCCAGCCGAGACCGACACCACCGGGCTTGGTGTCGCCAAAAGGGGGAGCTGCGCACCCCACGGGAAGCAGACCCGGAGGGGCAATCCCCCCAGTTCTGCAGCAGGAAGGGGCAGCCAAAGCGGGGACGGAGCCCGCCTTGCCTCGGCGCTGCCTTCCATAGGGGCAGAGCTAGCCAGCAGCCTCCAAGGCGGACCTGGGGGCAGGGCCCTTCTCCGTTTGGAATTTCAAACGGACTTCCAACACGGAGCAAGGAAGGACTCTCTCCTTGCCTCCTGCTTCTCAGCTTCTCTCCTCCTCGCCTTGTTGCGACAACTTTCCTATTTGTTCCAAGAGGCAAAACAAGAGACACATGCGTGAGGAGCCCTTCCTTGTTGCCCTTGGGGGGACATCTTTGGTTTCGGGGTGCCCGGTCCCTCCAATGCCACCCAGTTGAAGGAGCGTGTCCCCACCTGGCACTCACACCTGCTTCTCACTCCAGTCCCCTTCACGGGTCTGGAGAGGAGGGGGCCTTCCTGGGCGCAGTGCCGTACCTCCAGCTCTTGCAGGTACGGCCAGGGCCCTGTGCAGGGCTGCCAGCCACACCTGGCGGAGAAATCATGCCTCCTTCTTTACCCCAGCCTGTTTCGTGGGCCAGGCAAGGGATGCTGCGGAAGGAGAAAACGGCAGGCCGCACTTGCCTCCCGAATTTCAAATTTCAGCTGAAGATTCGTGAGGTCTTCCTGAACCGCCTCGGTCTCACTCTTTAATTCCCTTCCTGCGACAGAAGCCTTCCCTTCGAGCTTGGCAAACTCTTCGGTATCAAAAAACTCATCTTCTGAGTCTGAGGAACGAAAGAGATTTTGATCGCACGTTACCTGGGGACAAAACAGTCTCCCGGTTGTGTATCGGCCGGCCCAGGATTAGGGTCAGCCTTGCCACTCCTTTATCTTGCAAGGGCGTCCAGCCACTTCAAAGGCTGCATGACCTCCTCTTTGCAGGCAAGTCTCACCAGCCGGACGTTCTACTGTAACAGAGATCGTCCACCCAGCCCTGAGCAGGTCCAACGAAGCACACGGAAAGCGCAAGAACACATTTCATCCAGAAGTCCCCAGAGTGCCCTTTTGGAGATTAATCTTCAGCCCACTTCCCGGCCCACGGCTGGCCCGGGGGCTCCTGGGCTGCCTGACCGGAGAGGTACCCCCCCATTCTTCCTTCCTGTGGGCCCGCAAGGCGGATGCACGCATCTCTCCCCATGTCCTCCCCCCCACACTGTCGCCGTGCAGCCCAGAGAGGGAGAACACAAGTGCTGAAAAGAGTCGGCGCTGAATGAGAAGACCAGAGCGGCACAGGAAGGAGCAAAGGGGTCGTGTGGAGGGTCCTGCCCTGGGTGAAGGTCAGGAATGACTGGAGGGGGGACCCTCAACGGGGGGCTACGCAAGAGCCTGGTCACAAATTCCCTGCCTTGTCTGGCCCTGGCATGACCCGCCATGTGCACCTCCAATGGGAAGTGGGACTGGTTATACCGTCAAGTTACAGGTCAAGAGGGAGAGCTAAACTGGGAGCCAAAGAGCTTCAATGGCTCCTTGGCCACCCTTCCAGTCTGCCTAGACCATAACAATCTACAGCCAGCGCTGACCATGCAGTAAGGATCAGAAAAGCCCCAATCCTGCTCCCCTAAGTCTCCTCCCATAGCCTCTGCACACTACCCACAAGCTGCGCCGTTGCCAAACAAAAACGTTCCGCTGCCTTAGATTTACCAGCTATTCCCAATGCCCAAATAGGTTTTTACCTGATGGAACTTCATCCAGTAATAAAGATGACTCAAGAAAACCTTTGCTTGCATCAGTAAGAACAGGAATTGCAGGTTCCTAGAGAAAAGCGCAAGGTAACGTTGACGGGACATTGTTGCATGTTTTCCAAAATTCCCCCAAGTTTTCCTGTACCCGCCACAGAGCAAATCATCAAATTGAGCCTCTCTCAGTCGCCAGTCTTAAAGGATAGTAATTTTCAACTGCTGTATCAGTCATATTTTCAATTTGTACTCTCTTTGAACGCTCTTCCAAACCCAGAATTTGATTTAGGTTATGTATTTACTTTTGAACTTGGAGCTGAAACAGATGGCTTCTGTGGAAGTGGAATGCTATCAATGAGTTCTAGGACACCTTTGATCTTCTGATCAGAAATTCTTAGATGAACCAAAGGAAGTTCCCCTGATACTTTGAACCTAAAGCACAGCATAAGAAGCATTTCATGTTATGCATGGCACAAGCCACAGACTAACTTATTAAAAACAACTTGGATGCAAAAATGAAATCTACAAGAAGAAAGAGGGAACTGAACAGTCCTGAAATCCATTTGCTCTGCACAAATTGCTTACTGCAGCTCATCTTCTGAGGACACACACTAAAAAGAAGCAGGAAAACGTAAGATGGCTTTGGCACATGGGCTTCAGGTTTGCTGTTAGACACTATCAAGCCGTCAGCAACTTACAGAGATCCTCCAAAGTGTTCTGTCTTTGGCAGCCCTGCTCAGCTCTTGCAAGCGTGGCTAAGAAGGAAGTTTTGAGTAAATGCCAAGGAATAGAGGGGCAAGAGAAACAAGTTTGGAAGATTACTGAAGCTTCCGCATGGGGAAGAGCCTGGTCACACCCCCCCACCCGCCACCACACCTTCGGGTAACCGAATTTTGTTGTTAAGAGTTCCACGACCTGGGCCTCCGCTTTGGGCAGCATATACATTAATTAAATAAATAAACTCTATGCATCACGAATTATGCGTTTCCCCTCTCCTGCCCTCCTACCAGAGCAAAGAGTCTGCTAACTGGGTTGTTTTATTGTCATTTTCAAAAATAGGTTGCAATATCAACACACCTGGAGTGCATTATGGTATCTGAGGAGTTGAGCATCAAGCCAACACAGCCAGAAACATTTCGGGACTGTTAAACACACTTTTCTAACAGCAGGGCAAAAGCAGGGTTTGTAAGCAAGGATGGAGATAACTGCATGGAAAGTTCCTGAAACAGGGTGCCCTACGCTCCGTTTTTGTTTCCTTTCATGCATGACCCACGGCTTAACCCACATTTAAAATGGGGACATTACTTGGGTATCCTCGTGTCCTTCTCCACCATTGATTTGGCAAGCTGCACGTGCAAGTCCATGGGCTGTAGTATGTGTAGAGTTGATGGATGCTCAAACCGCGCCTTTTTCCAAGCTTCACCTGAACAATCAAGAATTTGCAAGCGGTCATTGTTATTCCAGCGCAAGACTAAATGCCATGCATGCATAAATCCAATATAACATTAATCAGTAACTCCCGAGTTACCACAGAAGACAAATATCTGAAGGAGCAGACAGAGGCAGCTGATGAAGAACAGAAATGCCAGCACACTGGGTCCCTGTTTCAGTACTGAAGGAGCGCTTACGTCCATATACGCCCGCCCAACCCCTGAGATCTGTGGGAGAGGCCCTTCTCCGGGAACCCTCCGTGAAGGAGATTAGGAGGGTAGGTACTCGGAGGAGGGCTTTCTCAGCGGTGGCGCCCAATCTATGGAATGCGCTCCCCAGAGAGGTCCGCCTGGCGCCGTCGTTATTTGTTTTTCGGCGCCAGGCAAAGACCTTTTTATTCAAACGTCATTTTAATTGCTAATATTATTTGCTTAATTCTTCAGCCAGGGTGACTTATTTTATAATGTTAATGTGTTTTATATTTTTAGTGGTTTATATTTTAACTGATGTTGTAAGCCGCCCCGAGGTTTCGGCAAATGGGGCGGCATAGAAATTTTTAAATTAATTTAAATAAATACTGCCAGAACTTTCTGTAGCATGAGACCGTTCAACGGCATGGAGCAAAAGCTGAAGGAACTGTGAAGAATCTCTGGAAGCAGGGAAAGTCTAACTCCAAGCTTCTGGTGTCCCTCTGCCCACGTTCCTTCTCCTGACGGCCCAACCCCCATTATTCTCAACGCAAAACCACCTTGCTCTGCAACTAGGACTTTCTGGTGCCAGATGGAGACTCCACCTGGACCACCTTTGGCGACAGAATCCTACGCCCTCGGCGACCAAGCCTACGCAAGAAAGAACGGTGTCTCCAGGAGCTGAGCAAGGAGCGCTTCTGCTTGCCCGCACAGGCAGCCGGACGCCGTGACTGCATTTTCTAAATGCGAGTGGGAAGGGGGCTCGTTACCCTTGACCCCCACTTGCGCTTCCCCATAAGAGCTGTCCCAACTGGACCACCTCATCATTAAGCCAACAGGGCAAGGAATGAGAAGCACAGCTCAGACCTGCACCAGGTCAGATAACCTGGCAGGGAAGTGACCCTTCAAGATGTATTTTGCCCATGCTCAGGAAACCGTGTCTCGGAATAGGATTTCTAAAGTGCTACTTTCAGCTCCGTACCCCAGTCAGTAGTAAGAATGGCTTTGAATGCATCCATTTTTGGTTACGGCTTCACTACCTGCTTTGCCGAACAGGAGCTGCACATTCTTGATTTCGACGTCAAACTTGTCGTAAGCTTTGTCCATAATCTCTTCCAGGGATGCGCTTGAAGAATGGAGGTTGCCTTGATGGACGCTGTTCAGCTATCAAACAAGCATCGTCACGTTGTTTAGAATGCACTCACCATTTCGGGCTTCATCTTTCCAAGATAAATCAGCACCAGCTGATTCTCTAGACACAGCTTTCCAAAGAGATTGATTTATGTTTATGTTGACCTGGCCTATCTTTTGCGATTAGCCAATACTTATTTTCAACCTATTTCTAAATCTGCAAAGAACGTATCTCCTGAATGAAGTACACCATCTTCTGTATTCCAAAATATTAAGTCCACTACTTTTCATTAAAAATTACAGCTTGTATTTTTTTACTGTTATATGCGTTCACCATTTCAGCACACCGACTACAGGCCACAAAATTACACTCTCTTTTCAACGTAAGGAAAAGGTAAAGGTTTCTCCTTGACGTTAAGTCCAGTCATGCCTGACTCTCGGGGGCGGTGCTCATCTCCGTTTCCTGGCCAAGGGAGCCAGCGCTTGTCCGCAGACAGTCTCCGTGGTCATGTGGCCGGCATGCCTAAACACCGAGGTGCACGGAACGCTGTTCCCTGCCCACGGAAGTGGTGCCTTTTTATCTACTTGCATTTGCATGCTTTCAAACTGCAAGGTTGGCAGGAGCTGGGATGAAGCATCGGGAACTCACCCCGTTGTGCAGATTCGAACCAGCGACCTTTCGATCAACCAGCCCAGCAGCTCAGCAGTTTAAACCTCTGCGCCACCTGCATTCCCTTTTTAACATAGTATGTTACTATTTCTGCAAAATGTGGCTATTATAAATTTAAATTTATAAACATAATATGCTGTAATTGTTTTACTAATAGGCTGCATGTTGAACACACTTGGTATAGATGCCTATGATGAAAAATCTGGTTTTCCAAGCACTGCCAAATCTCCTTCTCTTCCACAGTCATTTTAAAGTTACACTTAGGAGAATAAGAGTCTTCCATGTAAAAGCAATTTAAAAGGAAAGACATTTTAAGCTTCCATCCTTCAAAGTATTCCCATAACATACCTGAAAAGTACCAAAATCCAAAATAAGAAGGTTGGACTTGTCATAGCAGAAGCCTGTCTGTGGAACCAGAAGATAGGAAGGTTTCAGATTAATCCTCAGGTCAAGGACCTTTCGCGTTTCAATAATGTGTGTAAGACCTACGAGAGAAAGCAGAATGGAAGATCATTGCTACCCTGCCAGCCATTAGAGGTGCATAATGGAGTTACAAAGCGATGAGCCAACACTTTTTCTACCACTGGAGCAGAACAGTCCTCGCCACACAGGCCAGCAGCTTAATTTGGCCCAGGAGCTGAAAGGGCTCCCCGTGGGCCAGGCTGATGCGCTACACGACCGGCAACAGCAATGAAGCCCATGTGCCTGCACTCCGTCAGAGGAGTGTGCAGGAGTCTCCTTGTTAGAGATCAGAGCAGACATGGGAATTCCACTACCCGGATCAAGGGGTGGGGGCTCAGGGAGAGGCATGCCAGAGGAAGGGTCACAACCCACTCTTGTGGGCAAGAGTGGGCAACGCCATCCCTGGATTAGGCCCACGAGCTGGAGGTTGCTCGCCCCAGCTTCAGCCTTTGAAGAACCAATGCCCAAGGGCACAGCACAAAATTCATGCCTAACTCCTCTTCCAGATTCAGAGAGAGACAGAGAGAGACAGAGAGAGAGAGAGAGACAGAGAGAGAGAAGACAGAATGAGAATCCATGCTCACACACACAAAATCTGCAGCAAAAGAAAGCAGGCATTTTGCTTTCTTTTTCACACAAATGCAAGTTTGTGCGAAAAGGTCTGTCTTTGGCTAGTGATATTTTCGAAGCCAATGAAAATGTTCTTTCAAGAGGAAAGAGTGGCAGCCATGCAAAGAAAAACCGGTGCAGCTGAGAACTATTGAAAGAGGCACATTCCCTGCAAAAGGAGACTCCGGTTTTAATTGCTCCGTGGTAGCCTAACAGGCCGGTCAGCCTTCTGAAGCCCACCCGAGGCTTCTAAAAGTACCTGTCGCGGTCCTCTCTTTAATTTCTTCTAGCTTCGACAGTGTGGCAGTAGTTAAGCGTTCCAAGTCCATGCCCCGGTTCGTCTGGAAGAATTCCACCAGTGCATTGATTGTTCTCTGAAAGGGGAAGATTGGTTCATTGGCAACCGGTTCCTACATCATTTTATTTACAGAACTATGAAAAAATAAACAGAGAACACCAGAGAGTTAGAAGAAAGCTATCCTGGCAGCGTCTTCTTATGGGAGAGCACCTACCGCGTCGTATATGATTTCCACAGGCTGTGACTGAACCAAGCAGCTCTGATCCGCAGCGCTGTCCTCAGGATGCGTCTCATACTCGATCGTGAGCAGAGACGAGTCGGCATCCCCGATCGAAGCCACGAGGGACGGGACGACGTTCTGCTGTTTTAGGCCCGTCACGTACCAGTGCTCGAGCTTTGCTTCTATCCTGCAAGCCACGAGTTGGAAATGGACACTGAGCATGTGGAAGGCACGTTCCTCTGCACTTAAAATTTACATAGCAGGGGTGACTCGACTTGGCCATGTCTAACTGGTGGCAAGGAATAAACCAGGGAATTAACTCGGCAGGGGACCACTTCCCTGGGGCCGCAGGGTAAATGCACGTGAGGACTGGAGGGATCAAGGAAGGGCGTGTGCAGGAGGAGGGCTCCAAGCCCAGGCCTTCCACAGAAGACGCTCCCTGCATCTGGGGCAGATATTCCCCCCTCCCCTCCAGGCTGGACTCTGCGTGAACGCAGCCTGCTCCACGGCCACCTTCAGCCAGCTGCCCAGTTTAAATGATCCACCCACGGAGGGCTACCCGGCACCAGCTCGCCATCTTTCCCTTTTCCCTATTGCACACGTGTTTACGAATTGCTGTTTGTTGCCGTCGAGTCGAACTTCAGAAACCCGGTCACAGAGAAACAAAATGGAGGAGGATGGCCAGGTGCAGGGAAGGAAGAACTTGAAATATGGGCTGAGTCAGTTCTGACTGGTTGTACACTTACTTAAGGGCTTGTGCTCCCGGCCGCTGTGATATTTTAGTGCTGAGATCAATTATCTGGATTTTCAGCATGTCGGGAACATTTCGGTCCTCTTTAATGGTAAAGCAAGTGCTCAACAGTTTCAGGGACATCACATGGGCAACATACTAAACACAGGGGATAAAAGCATTGACAGAATTAGTCACACATCCAAGGACAAACTCTACCCCATTAATGGCCGCTCAAGGTGGCATGTGTGTAGCGTTGACCTCTTACATTTCTGTTACTCCAAAACTTTCCCAAAAGCACACCCTAAAATATAGCAGCATTTCATTACTCCGGCCCTGTGCCAAAACAGGGCCATGTGTCAGGACAGCACCGAGCCACCGCTGCGAACGCTCCCTCATCCAGCACAGGATTCCACATGTGCTGCGGGGGCCACCACGGAGAGGGTGCCACAGCTGCTTCTCAGCCGCAGAGTCAAGGCCGGTGCAGGAAAGGACCTTGGGCTGCATGCGCGGTTATTGCCCGGGGGAGGGGCAGCTACACATTTCATTTTTATCTATTTATTTAAAGCTTTTATAGACCATCCTGTTACTAATGGTTTTCGCATGGGCTACTTTAAGAGCTGAGAAAGGTCCAGTGAATTTATCTAACAATCCTACGAGTGCAAAGGTCCAATTTTCATGCAGTGGGGAACATTCTGAAGAGACAACACAGAATAACTCTCTCACCTAGAGACGAGCGGCTTGTCTTTCACACTGGCGTTTGGTGACAAACTGCAAGTTAATTAAGCCACAATTTGTGGGAGGGGACACTCGGCCCAAACTCTGTCACTAACAGCTAGTTGGCAGGATCGGAAGTTAGCTATACTGCATGGGAACCCAGTCCAATGGGTTGTTGAGTGGCAACCAACCTAGAACAAAGGGGGGGTGGCTCTCGCTGAGCTACCCATGAGTGTGGGTACGCACATCACGCAGGGAGCCTCCAGTCGGAAGTTGTTCAGCAAAACTGGGTGTGTGTCACAGGCAGCAAGCCTCCCCACTAACTGTGGGTTAAATCACCACAATGTGCAGCCAAGACATGGGTTACGTTTACCAAACAATGCAAATACCTTCTTGGGTAATGTGAGGTTGTGAGAACTGTCGCTGTAACCAATGGCAGTGAAAAGCTTTTCCTTCTCCTCTGGTGTCATCAAGTCATCAATAGCTAAACAAACGAGTGATGGCACAGTCATTACAGCATTTCTGTATCATTCAGAGATATCTCCATCCTACTTAAATCCAATTAAATGGTTAAAGTGTTTCCCAGAATAACAGGAACAGTGGACCTATCGCCTCCAATTTACTAGCAGCAGCGAACTTTGAAAAATTACATCATAACGATCATCTTGAATTTAAGGATGATCTGAGCGCCAATAGGCTCTCCGGGAGGTGTGAATGGAGTCTGAGCCACACACAGAAATGTGGGTGAACCAGACAGCTAGCGTTCCAGAAACTTTTAGAGCCAAACCTACTTTCAGGAACCGATGGTGTTTCCTCATCTTCTTTCCTTTTAGAGTCCTTCCTACCCCACAGTCCACTAAACCATCCGCCACCTTTTTTCTCTCCATCAGCAGATTTCTTCCTCAACAGCTTTTGTCCTGACCTTATAACCTAAAAATCAGACAGATAGGAAAATGCATGCACCAAATGTCATTTCACTATGCCACAGAGAAATCACTGTAAAGGAAAAAATGGAAAATGAGTAACACTGAAGGACAGTCTGGTAAGCTCTTATTTCGCCTTGTTCTTATTTAAAAAGTTTCCTGGTTACCCTGGGGTTGGGGTTGGTTTGGTTTGTTGGTTGGTTGGCATTTTTGCAAAGAGAATAGAAGTTATTCATGATGGGCAACGGGCAATAACAGCCTACAAAGATGACAAAGAGTTTCCAGAGGAGAAATTCAAATGAGTTGACACAAGCTGGTTGCAGCTTTTCCCCAGAAGCTACCTGAACAGTCGCAGAGATGCACGGCTGTTGTCGCCAGAAACCAGCAAGACCGAAAGCAGGCCGTGCGCCATGAGAGGGCAACTGTACATAATGCATGGAAGCTATCCATCGCTCCCAGAAAAGCTATCAGTTGCACAAAGATGTGCTTGTTTGCTGGCCAAGTCAGATGACAGTGCTCCATTTCTTGATCATGATGGAGCTGATGTCACTGAGGGTTTGAGAAGCCAGCTATTTCTTGAGCTGAAAAGCACCTTGTGGGAGCTACGCCCTTAAAAATGGCTTTGAGTTCATTGTAAGAAAAAAGGTGGGATGTAAATCTAATAAATAAATAAATATTCATATTGGAGGGCAGCACACCCTTTTCTAAAACAAATCCAAACATAAAAACTGACTAAACAACTATGCATGATTTTTAGAAGCTCAAAGCACTTCAGTATTTTATAGATCTGTGTTTAGGAAATTAGCATAAAAAATAGAACATACCTCAGTTTGTGCTTGTTGTCTTGCTAGAACAATACTGAAAACATCCAGATCTTTTTCCAAATCCTGAGGAGTAAATGCACAAATGCAACTGTAATGCAGCTTCTAAGTTGCCTATAAAACGATCGCAGGAAAGCTTTTCCTGGCTCTAACTTAACATCCTTTGCAATCCTAACGCAAGGCTGTGGAATTACAGCAATTGTACCAGACATTCCCATGGTGTTGAGCATTTCCTCTGGCCGTTCAGCCAGGACTTTTGCTATACACCTATCATTAATTTCATTTTATATGTTGCATTTATATGTCACCAATATTATCCTTATAAATGCATTTGCAAGAGAACCTTCTTTTATCTTCAAACACGGAACCGGCTGAAAATCCAGTACTGTGGTATTTACAGAATTGCTTCTTTGTTACCCATTCCTAGCAGTACAGGTCAAAAAAACATCTTTCACTTTCCATCTTAAGCACTAGAATGATACTAAGTACCTTCATTTTTTTCTGTGTTTCTTCTGATACTTTGGTCTGTGTCAGTTTATCTTTATAAATATTTTTGTAACTTTTCAGAAGCTGCCTGTGCCCTTTTATGTTGCTCCATGACCACATGCGAGTGCAGCGTCTGATATGAACCTCAAGAATACTATTTCCCGCATACTTCCACCTGCAAGGAAGAGACAGATATCCTTTTCACCTTCCATTTACGCCAAAGGAGAAATAAAGAAGGAGTCATTTGAGCAAGCAAAAATAATCTTGCAGAGATGGGCAAACGAGTTTCAATGGCTAGGCAAGGAGTTCTAGGTTCCCGTAGTCTGACTGGGCTACTGAGAGAGAAAAGGAACTGGAAGGAAAATAGGAAAGGATTCATGTGCACAAGAGCTTCAAGCTCGCTTCTAATGCTGCAAGTCAAATTCCTGGACTGAGCGTGTGCTCAGGTACACCCTGCATACCAAAACCGCCGCTTGGAACACATTTCTGGGAATTCGCATCCAAATAAGCACGCCCAGGAATGCACTGCAGAGCTTCCCCCTGCACACACAACACAGACACAACTCCTGGCACACATCAGCAGGCAATACAAAACAGGGTTTATCAGTCCCTGGATCCTTCCCCTTCCCCTCCATCCACTCTTCCCCTGTTCCCCAAATGTCTTAGCAGCCCTGTACAAATGCCACCTGCACATGCCACAAGGCAGCTGCACAGCTGCAGACGAATTAACCCACAACTGAGCCTGTGAGCAAGCCTCGTTTTTGCCACTCTTGTCACCGCCTCCAAGGTCTGTCAAAACAAGCCAAGGACAACCCATGGTTTGGGGTTCACCCATCTGAACAGTCCAGAGCCTCCAACTCAACTACAGATCTCGGGTTCTCTTCCTGAGTAGTTTGTTGTCAACAAGCCGCAGTGTGGTAGCACAGCTGAAGGTCACACAACACCAACCCGTATCAGGGGTCAGTATGATGCACAAACCTGACCAAACCACACCCGCGGTGAACACACACACAGCACACAAGGTGAACTAGTACCCCACCTCCCTGGAGAGTTGCAGCACTGAAGCAAAATTGCTACCAGATTAAAAACAATGCAGGAAGAGTTTCAAACCTACCATAGTCTGGCATTCTTATGCAGCGGTACTTCTGGTCTGTACTTTCTGTATGGGACATTTCGAACCATATAATCTATGGATTCCAGAAGGTCAATCATACTAAGGTACTGGACAAAGGAAGCAGGATAAGGTAATTAGCCACCTGATCTTTACAATATTTCAAGCGTTCACTGAGAAAGTACATTTTGTCTGACTAGGCTCAGAGGAAATGTCTATTTTGTTCAACACTCTACCATGCAAATGTTGCTTTCCATGCATCACTCGATTCCAACTGAATGCTAAGCGCATTAAATGGTTTTTCAAAGGAGATAGTAATCAACCTTGACTAAAATATGAGAGTCAGACTAATTGCCAGAAAAGCATTCCTGATGTCAAAATGCTCAAGAAATCGTTGCAGAAAAACGATGCGAACTGAACGCGTTCATCGCGTAGCCTCCTCATCTACATTCTTCTGAGAGAGCATGCAGAATTTCCAGAATGAGCGAGGAAGCAGCCCGGTGAAGGAGGCTGAAGAAGCCGAAATGAAATCGACAAGGTACAAGTCCTCCTACCTGCGGCCGGGTCAGTTCAACAGCGATGCTCTGGACCTCCATGCTCCAATCGACCTTCGGCGTTTGCAGCTCAACTGCTGCATGAGGGTTAATGTAGAGTTTTGCAGAGGCTGATATCGGCTTAAATACTTCAAAGAAAAACATGTCCCAGGTTTTTCAGCTTACTGAACTAAGTCACTGCCCAAGTCAATTGCTCCAATTTAAAAGCTGCTGCATAGAAACATGCTTTATTGACCTGGTTCATCCCAGGACTACAGCGATGCAAAGGCAGGAGCAAACGAAGGAACAGGAAAGCAAACAACCCAGAGATCGGGGGCGGGGGGGCATGCTTTGTTGCAATGTCTGCCAGACAAACAGTGGGTAGGGAGGGCAACAAGCTACGGCTTAAGCCTGAGTCAAATAAACCATGGGTTTATTCAGCATTATGTGAGAACCAGCACATTATGTAGGGAACTGAGGAAGGATCAAGCCCAGAACTGCATGGGGCTTGAAGGGACCAACTGGGGTCACCCTGACCCCTCCTGCCAGCCACTTCTGAGACACTGGGGGCAGCGAGGGCATATTTCTTAGCCTAAATCCCTCTTTACAACACATGCCTCCATACTATGAGACCCCATACACACCGTACCCACTGTCCTTCCCCTGCCAAACGTCGGCGTGCACCTGGTGAAGTCACATATGCTGGAGGCTCCAACCCCCCTCCCATAACCATGGGGCATTTCGGCAGCATTGCAAACCAAGACATATCATGAGCAGCATGCAAGTTCAGGGACCATTGAGGCCGAGCTGTTCTCTTGACAATCTGCCCGCCCAGCCCCAGGGCCCCTCCGTGGGCTGCCCCACGCCACCAACGGAAGCGACACTTCAGTTCTGCCCAGCACTTACTATACTGATAATCTGGAAGTTCTTGGTTGACAGAAGGGATTCCCTTTTTCAAGCGTTCCTGCAAATGGCAAAAAATCGAATTGCTAATTCATCGCAAGCACATGAATTACAACAGTATGGTGTGGGGAACATTTTGGGAAAGCCCATTTCTGATGTGACTTCCTCATATAAATCAGCTCGTGTGTGTGTGTGTGTGTGTGTGTGTGTGTGTGTGTGTGTGTGTGTGTGGTGCTTGCAGAGAAGTACTATTTGGGAGACTGTTCCACCCTTTTTCCTCCAAGATAAGTTTCAGAACTGTGCTTCCACAGATGCATGCTGTATCTCTCAGAACAGTCTCCTTACCCTAATGAATTGTTATCTAATATTCATGGTAGCATAAGCACAGCAAACAACATAACAGTGCACTAAATATAAGCAAGAACCATCTGCCGGCCATTAAATATATTAGCTTATTTTCAAGTAATCACTTTATAGAATAAGCCTCACCATGTAATCTGCTTAAAAGACAAGGAGGTTTGGCAAACAGGGCCCCTCTACAAGGAGCCGGGAAAAGCACAAACTATTTTGGACTTCTATCAGGACTAAAATATAAAATGAACTGATTTGACATCAAGGTGATTTGGCTTGCTTCGGGGTTTTATGAACTCCACAATCCTAACATTTAGCAGACTGCCTGCCAAAGAAACAAAATACAATTGCTTCAGTGCAATGAACCACTGAAAACTAGCTAGCTGAAGGAAATGTCTGTCACTTTTATTCTGCAATACAAGCTTCCACTAAAATGTTGTTTCTTAATGTTTCTTGCAGGGGGATTCCTACTCTGCCACTAGCTATAAGTTTTAGGCAGCTCTGGGCTCTGATATAGCATTCAAAGGGAAACATCTCTCAAAAGGCCTGCTTACTCATCTCGGTTCCTAAACCAATGATATTCTCAGCCATGTCAGCCAAGAGAAAATAATCCCTGTTTGGCATATACAGGAAGTATCTTAAGACTTTAATTACCAAGATTTCCTCCCGAGAAGCATGATAGTACATTTCACTGTCCACATTCCAGTACACACTGAGGGAATCAAGCCGCAAAAACTGAAAGAGAAACATCTCATTAGCTGCTTCCTGATGGCCAAAAGTGTCGCTTCAAGACGGGGGAGCAATTTGGGCCAGGAGTCCGAGTGTTTCTGTAGCTCACAGAGAATGCACACAATATGCTAGAAATGGCAATGGGCTCAGTGCAACAGCCAGTCGCTGTGCGCCGTGTCGGCATCCAGCAACCTCGCAAATAAATAAGCAGAGAAGAAAGGTGTTTGTGTAAGCAGGAACAGAAAGATTCTGGGTCGGAGTGAGACTATGCCATGGTTGGAACTGTTCCGGGGGACTTGTCTGACTCTCTCCCTAGAAGAGGCCTGCTCCACGGATGACTACTTCTGGACCTACCTTAGGAAGATCTGAGCAAGATGGCAAGACAAGGACGGAGTGGGAAAACTCTCCTTTGTCACGTGGTGAGGCTTAAGGCTTAACACCACACTTCTAAAGGATACCGTCACGTTTCAGCCACTACCAGATCGCTTTGGACAGCCCAGCTGCTGCAGGGGGTCAGTGGGAGGGGGGGCACTCAGGAGCCACCAAACAATAAGGGGGAAATCAGAGTCGAAATATACAACGCAGAGGAGAGTTTGCATTGGATTCAGGGTGCAGCCACATTCATTCATTTAAAACATTTATATCCCATTCTACACAAGAAAGATGTCCCAGGATGGCTTACGATATTATAACAATTGACAACAACAAAAAACAGCAAAAATTATAACAATTCGTAACAACTACAAATGACCACCATAAACAACAAAAACACGATGCCAGCACAAAATCCGAATCAAAAGGGAAAAGGGAAAAAAGAGACTGCAGATGTTAAAACCAATTAAAATTTCTAATTCTTAAAATGACCGGTAAATAAAAAGGTTTAAAAATTATACCACACACTCATTGTAGAGGGACCTGAATGCTTAGATCAGGGAGGGATTTTAAACATGCTAGCAAAAGCTTCCCCTTGAGGCAATACAGATGTTAAAAGGGACCCTGGGTGGCATGTAGACGTGGCGGGCATTACCAACGCGCTCTTTCCCAGGGTGCCCACTTAACAATGCAATCGGGTGACCGGCAGGGCCAGTTTCCATTTGGCTTTCCACATAGAGAGTGGCTCACTCCACAGAGCTTGCCAATCTTGAAAGACATGGAAGACAAGCATTCTGAAGGAGATTAAAGCCATTTAAAACTTAAGTATACCCTGCAGCATTAAACTTCAAGTAGCTGAGGTGACAGAGCATTGCTGGACTGGATGTACCACTGGTCTGCACAAGCACTTTTAAGTGTAGGGCTGTATAAATTAAAAAAAAACATATGAAGGGCCTTTCCATGTAAATGAATAAAAATGCCTCATTGTGTTCAGCCCATTTAGACTCTTTGCAAATGTAAGGACATAAAATCCAGCCAGGCTGATTTTGAACGCCTGACTTTTGCACAGGCCGTGCATGTGTTGGCTGTGATCCAAAAGAACTGTTCGGTGTGTCGCTGTACTTGCCCAAGGGGGCCTCTGGGCTTGTGTTTCTCGCACAGCAGTGTGTCCATTTAACAAAACTGCTTCTGAAACTACAGGGGCTTTCAAACACAGGCTGTGATGGAGGGAGAGATCACATGGTACAGAAGCGTGTAGTCAGAATGCCCATTAAGACATGCTGAAGGAAGCCTTTGGGCTTAAGTAGAATAGCCTTTTGATTCCTGGCAATTTATGTTAGTTTAGCATCAAGGAACCACAAGAGAATCAGAAATTCACATTTCAACCTCTGGACGCAGCAACCACCCCTGTACCTTGTAGATGATCTTTGCCGCCTCATTTAAAATGCAAGGACTCCAGTTTTCATTGGTAGTCTAGAAATGGGAAGAAGTTAAAATTCAGTCATTTGCCTTTTATTCCAATCCTTTTCACTGTTATACCCATTTGGAAATCAGGCATTTTCCATCACTGGATACAGCAAATGTAATTCATGCCTGACAAAGATAAGTTTTTTGGGGGGGGCAGGGGGGAGTGAAAAAGGCAAAATCTTGTAACTAAAAATTTCACTTGGCATAACACAACTGATTTCCTATATTTTGATGGAACAGCAGGTCTGCGTTAAGATCTACGCAAAATTTTACGTAAATTACAAAATGTTTCCAGTAAAACATGGCCATGTTAACTTAAACCAAAAAGACTTTGCAGGAAAGGTAACAAGGAAAGACACTGTGGGTGCAAATCCAGAGAGGATCGGGTAGTTTGACATTCAGAACTTCTGCTTTAAGGAAATATTGCCTGTTCCACAGTTTTAAAGTAGAGGGTCCTCCCCCTAAACGGCAGCCAAAACCTTGTTTTAAATAAACCGGTAAGAGAGATGCCACAGAGATAGTCATTTGCAAACACCTTGGTTCAGCGCTTAATGCAAGAAGCACTCATTCTGCAAGGAAGAGGTGAGCATTACCAGTAAGCTAAGTTCCCCCAGTGTCATTCCTAGGGAAAGTGGTCGGCTAGGATCTGTGATCTACAAAAGACAGAAGTAGATTATTAGGTCGATACTTAATACAGTTCCTTAGTACAGTTGACGGCCTGCTATTCACAAAAACATTTGCTCCTATTTTGTTTGCAAACAAGTGATCGGCCTCAGACAGGGAGGCAGCTGTCTGCATCTGCAAGTCGTGCACTGAGAAGTCACCAGGCCTTTCAGAAAGTCATCCTTAACTGTTCTGTTAGTTCCCCCCACCTGCCCCTAGCAGTAGAATCCTGTGCATACGCAGTTGCCCAAGGGGTCTTGTAAGCATCCATGTAAGAACGCAGCCTTAATCCTTGGATTTCTCACTGTGTCTCTTTTGCCTCTCAGAGTTGCACTGCTATTTGGGTATGCAGTGGTTTTCCTGGAAACGAAATGCCTTGCTATGTGCAATCGCTTTCCACCAGCAGCTCCTAAAGCCCCCATTAGAAGACCCACTTTCCAGAAAATGTTTTAAAAAACGCAAAAGTGTTTTAAAAACGCAAATGGGAACTTGCCATGAGTTTCAAACGGCAAGTTACAGAATACAATATTAATTTATTATCGCCTGTGAAAAAACAAACAATCAGGAATTCATGCTACTTACATCATCTTCATACTTGATATGGATGCCTGTGATTTTGACTTGAACATTTTTGATAATCTGTGTTGCAAGCTTTTCCAAAAAAGTATCTTTCTTCTCTTCCTTTGATTTGTCTAAAAAACAGTTTGCAAGTCAGTCTCCATTCAGGCTCATGCATAGCTCAAGCATTTTATCCAAGATTCAGATCATCAGATTAAACACCCTGGAATGGCATACTATTTGCTCAGAAGGACACTCCGGTCACTAGCATATTGCACTACCTGCAGCTCCTGGATCAGCCTCACGGACAGCGTCACAAGCAGCACACTGCAGTAATCCTATCTCAGCACCACCTGCAATGGATCCAGGGACACCTCGAACTGTCAACCTGTTCCTTCAGGGAAGCGTACCTCCATCCGGAATGGGCAATTCCTAGGCATGGGAACCACCACCCACAATGCCTCTGTCCTGTCAGGATTCAGCTGCCCTAAACCATCCATCAGACCAGGCAGAGCTTTCCCAGGCATGGGAACAACACTAAGCCAGAATGGGAAAAAAGGAAGCAAACACTTCCGGTCGCTACAGGGCCGCATCTGATGAGGGCAAAGAAGCAGCCAAGCACAGCTTTTACTCCTCATCACGGCGAGTCGCAGTGCAGTGCCGCTTCCAAATTTTGCCCACCTGGCCCCCTGACCCTCAGCTCACCAGAGATGAGTCAGTAATCTCATCCATTTCAAACATGTTTCAATTTTTATCCAAGAACATGATTTAAGTTTAGAGGGTGCTACTCCGAAATAATGGTACAGAATCAAGAAGATTGCCTACCTCCAAATCAATGGTCAAACATAACCATTTACATTTGTCAGACTTATTCCTTCCTATGCTTGCACAAAGATTTCTCTATCCTACATTGCATATTGCTCATTTCCTCCCAATGCTTCCAGCCACATGTGGAAGAAAATCACAGTTTATTTAACTTCCACAGGGGTGAGTATTGCTGGTCAGTCGTGCCACAGAAACTGGAGGTGCTGCAGCACCCTAAAGACCAACAGATTTCCTGGACCAGATTCCACCACAACTGCCAACATGGATTCTAGTCCACAAAAGCTTATGCCATGATCAGTCTGTTGGTCTTCAAAGTGCTGTGACATTCCCTGTTGTTTTAACATCAGTACTAATGCTGCTTCAAATTAAAGTCACCTAAACTAAGTTCCTTAAGACCTTTGTCAAATGTGTGAAGAGCAATTGGTTATTTTTATTTGCAAAGGCCTTGTTCACATATAATACCAGGTCGTGGATTAAGCACTCCATGAACTGGCAGTCCAACACAAGAATAAGCCTTCTCGCACCCTCCAATTCACAACCTCCGATTCCTAGGCTGTTAGTCATGATGTCTGAATCTGATACTTTGAGCTGTGAACAACCCGTAGTCCGAATCCCTTGTTCGTTGTTGGCTTAAAACGCTGGGTTGTTTAACCCTCAACAGGTCAGAGTTTTAATCTAACAACACATCATGGGTTCAAATTCCTAACAACCCAGACTGTCATGTTCAGATATCTCAATTGACAAGCAGGAGTGCAGTGCCCCAGGTTTTAGGCAAAAAAGCAGGAGCGAGACAGTGTATTTATTTGTTCCTGACAATCCATGGTTTAAAGAACCCGTGACTTACTAGCGTATGCTAAGGCTGAATTAGCACATAACCAGTCTTACAGCTAAAGCTATTAAGCAACCAGCAATTGTTTAAAATGCTGAAAGAAAACCTAAAGCAACAGATAAAAAGAAAGTAGACAAAAATAATCGAGATTGTGAGAAGGGTATCGAAAGCATAAACAGAACTAAGGACTAAGTTTGTAAGAACAGGACAGATTTCATCAGAGACCTGAAGGAGTTCCAGGAGAACATGACTAATCATATGACTTCTCTAAAAATAGCTTTTACACAAGCTTGGAACTCTGTGGACAAATATGTATAAGCATCTATTGATATTTAGTCTACATACTATCTTCATTTTGACTGATCAAGACATTTTAAAATATAAATCTAACTAGTCCAAGGTAAGATCTTGACATCAGACTCTTAATTATGAAGGCAAAAGCCTTGCCGTTTATTCATTTCTTTGTTATTTAATTTTATACTGCCCAATAGCTGAGGCTCTCCCAATTTAAACCATGCAGCCAGAAACCTTGGATAAGCAGTCTTATTTCACTATCATGACAATTTCCCTGAGCGCTCTTTCACCTCTGGCTATTACTCTCATTTTTTAAAAAAATCTGGAAAAGATTTCTGAGTGGCGGCTGCTGCTGCTACTAGTAGAAGAGAGTTCCTCCAAACAATGGCATCCCGGCAAGCAGCCAAAAGCTGTTCAGGCACCAATGCATGTGGCCTTAAGGTGAGTGGGGTGAGGCCCTTCCTGCTTTTTCACCCACGCCAATGCATCGTCGCAACTCTTCGCAGGCACGTGGCCTTGCTTTGATGCGGTCAAGCCCCATTCTCAGTCACTCACGATCGGCGTAAATGAGGTTGCACATAGAACGGCTAAAATGAATGTGCAGCAACAACAGAAAAAGAGACGCACTGAACACGGAACACGCTATGCTAGTTTTACCCACCTTTGGAGTGATCATGAGCTTTAAATGGTTTCTTAAAATGCTTTTTAGTCTTTTTAGATTTACGTCCTTCTCAGGGTAAGCAATTTTACGGAAAGAGGATAGATTACAGTTAGGCAAGTGTCACAAAGCGAGCAACAGAAATAAAAGACACAGAACACACAAAAGGTTTACTGAGGAAAGATGCGACCTCTTATCACTTAATGAAGATATTGATTTAGGGTTTTTTTTATTAACCTCCAGTAAATAATATTTCCAGCTGGTTTGGAGTTCAGCTCACCGGATCCCCGGCCAGCTTGCCCAGTGGTCAGGAATGCTGGGTGCTGAAGCCCCAAATGCCCAGAGGAGACTCTGTTAATCTGCTACAGCCCAAACACTAATGCAATGCAAGCGTTTCTGTTGAAAGTGGGAAAACAGCCTGTTTACACACACTCCTGCAACATGCCTTTCACAATTTAAAGACCAAGTTTGAGGCTTTTGCCGCCAGAAGCTAAGAGGCCCCTGGGGAAAAACAGCGTGGTTCATGGAACAGCTCGCATTTCCTGAGAGCAGCTGCAAAGGAAACAGTCCCCGTGCTGCACTCAGCCGGTATGAAGAGAGGAGCAATGCTGCAAGAGAAAGCAGGGCTCCTCAGAGCCTTGAAGAGTCTCTCCTCTTGTCCTCGCTCACAGACCGGTCAGGACTTCAGTCCAAAGTAGGAAGGGACAAGGATGGCTGGACTGCCTCATGCAAATCAGACAGACCAGCAAGGCTATGATCGAGCAGCACCTGCAACTATATCCTCTGAATACGATGGAAAGGAAGCTGGACAGGTAGGCTTGGGTGCAGAAAGCACAGCATCAGCTACCCCTACCTGTCTGGGAATGCTCATTACTTGTACTAACCAGATTCCTCCTAAAATTCAGGGGGGGAAGGAGGGAGGGGGGGAGGGAGAGGGGGGGTTGTGTGCTCTGGTTAGCTAAGAAATCATTCTAACAAGAGGGAAGTGCCTTTTATAGCAGTACAGCTGATACTCAGAAATGACTGCATTGGAGAAGCAGCAAATTCCCAGGATCCTGCCTGTGACCTCAGCAGAAACACCACCTGCCCTCCTCTTCTGTTGAAACAGATTTCTGTACTGGCGATGTTTCCGCTCCCTTCACAGAAGCATCGCTTCAAATGTGCATTTAAGTGCCGGCTGCATAAATGTGCCGCAGGGAACCTGGGCAGGTAGTCACCAACCAGGAAACGGTTCCGCATCGGCCAAGTCCTGCTCCAGCCCAGCAATGCAGCGGTCATTCATGCTCCAAACCTCCCCCAGTATAGCCAGTTAAGCATACCCACCCGGCTTGGCCTCCTTGTACACAAGGGTCTCCAGTCCGTGTATGATCTCTGAATGAGCTCCTTCATCCGTGTGACAGCATTAATCAAAGACACACATTTTTAAACAATGGAATCGGCGGTTCAGTCTGAACTACCAACACGGATTCTGTCATGCTGACCTGATGTGCACAATCGTCACAGCTTCAGCAAGTCACTGGACTCTGTTTCCAGTCGCAGCGTGTGTCCAGTTACCTGCCCAGGCACTGCTTGCCACATCACCTGCACCGGGGCAGCGTCGCTTGTTGGAAACAACCCTCGACTCACATTTGAGAATTGCTTCCCCCTCCAACAAACCACGTGATGCAAGCCCACACACTGTTCAAACAAGCCACTGTGCCTTGCTTAGGACAAGATAAACATACAAACCAAACCACAATGAAACAAGCAGAATAAAGGGCAGCTCAAAACACCAATACCTGTTTAAAAACTCCTGAACGCCTGGGGAAATTAAAATGCCTTTGCCATTTGCTTCAGGGCCAAACCTGCCCCCCCCCCGAAATGTGTTCTCAAACCAGGGTGTGGCTTCTAGCTAGTGTCACTTGGCTGCAATCATCTCTAACACAGATAGATTTAACATCTGAGATGCTCAGAAATACAACTCCATATACTGTTTTTGCCGTTTTTTTAAACTGCTCACCAAAAGAAGGCAGGACGGAAAAGGGAACCAAGAATATAAGCCCCAAATATTCTATGCCGAGATCAAAAATAACTTCTGCAAGGCTGAAAAGAATATTGCAAACACTTAACCTCCGGTTTCAGATCTGTAAGAGGCCAGGCAATTCAGCTCCCTAATTTACAGCTCTAACCTAGTTCAAGACAGTTTTCAGAAGTAGTTCTTAAATGCCAGTTTTGAGGAACTGAAATGCATCATTTCAGAAACCTCAAGAAGAACCATACAATACCTTTTTGTGCTGCTTTTTGTAGGGCTTCCTCAATTCTAGACAGTTCCTTCTGCTTCTTATCTTGTAGGTACTTTTCTTCTTTCTCTGCATCGTATTTAATGCCTAGGCGATAAAGCAAGACACAATTAGTGTCTTAGGAAAACAGCACGAAGGATGGGAAATGGATTAGTGTGGTCTCCTGACCAAGACAGAGAGAACACCCACAGTCCCAACACAACACTGCGAGTTGCAGTGTTTGTTGTCTAAACATGCACCAAAGTGCATCCTAGTTCATTGACCCCTCACCTAATCAGGGGGCTGAAAATCCTTCTTGCCCTCCAATTTTATGCTAACACATCAACTTCATATTTCCAATATAGGCAGCACGGTTTAAATTCACTATCACTCCCACGAAACATTGCTGATTTCCCACCAACAACGTACTTGCTCCAGGAACAACAAGAAGATACAAGCCCTCCAGCGTTGCAACAACTGCATCACCGTACAAATTCTTCCAGGGAATCTTCAGGGTAAGCTTATCTATGAGCAAAGGATATTATATTTAGAATTTGTTCTTTGTTTCCTTGTCTAATTTTAATATAAAGACAAAATTAATAGACCGTGCTTTATAATTAAAGCATTAAAATTCACATTATAACACCTGTTTCATAGACAGGTATTTCAGTGTACTGCAGAGAGAGGGATCTGTGGTAAGACTAATAAGTTCCAAGAAAGAAAGAAAAACCCTAATGTTTCCAGATGACATGATCAACCAAAACTGCATTATGCTAGCTAAGAAATTAACAGCAGAGGAGGAAACTTTCACTTGCTGATTCAAAAGCGTACTAGATTTCTTCACTGTAGATTTATTGGGTGAAAAGGCAAAAATTAGAGCATTCTGGTTAAAAGTGTCCATCTTCACCAACGAAAGGGAGATGGCTTATTCCACGTGCACATGGGAAACATACAGCTGTTTCTTTAGAAGGGACACAAAACGAACTATTAATAGTCTTGGCATGGAACTGCAATCTTAATCTTGGCCTTCGCTTACTACATCTAAGGTACACAATACAGGAAACGCCTTTCTTCCTGCATTCTGATTTACATTACATGAATTCAAAATATTGTCAAGTCAAAGACTGACAGCTTAATTATACATTTTCAGTTATTAGAAATAGTTGATCAAAGTGTTGTTTAGCAGTCACATGATTTACAAGCATGTAAAGAACAGCATCTGGGTGTTTTAATAATTATTAAAGGCACTGTATAAAATCATTACAAAACTATTAAATGCAATGCATAAAAAAATTTAAAAAACCATTTTTTCCTAACTTGGCCCACCATTCTGTTTAGTTTTACATGGTCACAGTAACTATCCGATAAAGTATATAGGACTATTTGATTTAGATGTAGTGTAACCAAGCTACGCATTTCCTCTGCTACATTAACACTGTTAAATGTATATATTTCCAACCCATTCAAACACTAGAGCAACTACCTTAAGACTGAGGGAGAACCAGACGTCTTCCAGGATGTGGTTGAGAAAAAAGACTGTATTTGGCCTAACATTCTGGAAAAGGAATGCAGCTTTTGTGTCTATCGTATTCTAAGGCAGAAATGCGTGAAGCGCCAAGACACAGCAAATCCCCCTGCATTTAACTATCGGCAAAACAAAACACAGATGAGAATGATCTGCTTACCTATTTGTCCAGCCTTGACTCTGAATGGCGCATCTAACTCACTCTAATAACAGCAGGAAAGGAAAGAAACGCTCATTACACAGATATATTTTATCACTCATTCCGCTGCACAGTGAAAAAGGTTGAAAGTTGAGTTTTCACCACCCCCATGGTTGCTTTCCTGTTAAAATATGTCTTCCACACAAAACTTTTATTACCCTCTCTGTTGCACAGTGGGAGCAGGGGAGAGAAACACACAAAATTATGCCGATATATAACACTAAAGACTAAAGGGGATGATGGCTATCTTCTAAAGAGCATAAGTTCTTTAGCATGTCCTTTAGAATTACTTTTTATGTTTAGTAGAATAAATACTGGGATCCAAAGTAAATACACAAGCATTTCCTCTTCAGATCAAAGTTCCTTACCAAGGCATTCTCCTTTATCTGCAAATTGTCAAGTGCTACATTACCTAAAAAGAAGAGAGAAAACACCTGCATTACTGAGGGAACATCATCTTGTACTCCAGCTGGATTTTTGCACATGCTGACCTCTGGTTTTTGTCTGTTTTTGTGGACACAATACCCACATGTCTGTAGAGAAGCACAACGCATGCAACTAGTCCAGTCCAGCCTCAACTTCAGTACCAGCTTCATTTGAACCTCTCATGATGGTACCCAGAAACATTTACAGAAAACCAGTGAAGATGAAACTCAAATACTTTGACCACCTAATGAGAAGGAAGGACTCCCTGGAGAAGAGCCCAATGCTGGGAACAATAGAGGGCAAGACGGCAGAGGATGAGGGGGCTGGATGGAGTCACTGAAGCAGTCGGCAAGAGCTTAAGTGGACTCCGGGGGATGATGGAAGACAGGAAGGCCTGGAGGAGTGTTGTCCATGGGGTCACGAACAGTTAAGGTACCTTACTAGAATAAGCACAGCAAGTTCACTTGCAAGGTCTTTCATCTCTGTTTGTTGCAAAATTCAACACAGCAACCGCCTCCAGACCTGCACTTTACCCTTTTGTTCAAAATTCCTATTGAGCCAGTTTGACAACTTTTGAAGCAAAAGAGGAATGTTGAGGATTATTAACTTATCCAGTCTTAGAGAGAGGTACCGTTTGGCTCATCTCAATAATCTTAGAAAATACTTTCCTTTACCCAGGATAAGCAAGAAGCTGTCTGTCTGTGATACAGTCAATTTCTTTTTGATATTGTTTAAAATAGTTCTGCACCAAAAACAGAATATATTCCGCCAATTTCCCCACTCCATAAAATGCACCCCATTGACACCATCTTTCAAATGGTGTAAAGCAAGAACCAAGTTTCACAATACACCCAAAAAGCAAAGAAAGGGTTTTGTGACATCACCATGTAACCAAATCTACACAGCATCACCAGCACAAACCCCAGTACAGCCAGTTCAAGTCTGGTCCCTCAATCTGACCAGCCATGGGGCTGCCCTGACATTCCGATGGTTTGCAAAACAAAAGCCATATGACTCCAAGCTCCTACTCCAGCCCTTACCCCTTCTCAGTCCGTGTACGGTTGGCATCAACCAGGTGACTCTGAATCGAGATTTGCGATTGGGTCAAAGCTTCATTTCATGTTTTGGCTAGAATGAGAACCAAACACTGTGGAAGCAGAAGGGAAGCCAGAAGGGATGGGGGAAATGTTCTTTTCCAAGAGCAACTTTTACCAAAAAAATATGATGCTGATAAAGCAGAAGCCACAACTTGTTCGTACAGGTCCACTGCGCAGCTGCACGGTGTAGCAAGATCCAGAGGCAAACAGCATCCAGAATTGAAGGGCAAAACCTGCTTTTGTGCTGAGAGGTCCTTGCCCAAGCCAAGATGGAGCACCAACATTTACTGTGGTGTGGCAAGTGGGTTCTGTGAGGCAAGCCTAAAAAACTGAGCTTTCACAAAATTCAAGACCTCCTGGGGTGCAATTTGATGACTCTTCAGACAGAAATAAGTACATCCTCTCCCAGTATCCCCAGCCAATATGGCTGCCTGCCAATGCAAAGATTTGTTTGTCTCATCCTCTGGTGTTCCTATGGATTTTGATCAAAAGATTACCTATACATGTATTTCCAAATGATTCTGCAAAAAAACCACCCTGCTTTTTAAGAACAAAAGTAGCTATGTTTTGTTTTGTTTTTTTTAACTGCTGCCAGATTATTTAGGAAGAACCTCTTAAAATTCTGCCACTCAATTGCCAGAATATTAAAGCACTCCAAAAAGCACAAGCCCTTCCCAGTAACAGGCAGGCCCGGAAACGCTGCACTTTCAACATGCAATTTAGTCATGCTTTGGAAGTTTACCACCCCACAAGCAACTCATGGTCTTCACTCACATGACCTGCAAACTTCTCTTCTTCTAACACAACTCCTTCGCTATCACAGGCCAAGTCATGTTTAATGCAAGGCTGGAGCCTTCTGCCCTCCCTCATATGCCTGGCTTTAGCCAGATTCCTGAATCCCGCACAACACAGCAAACACGGCTCCACCTAAACACATTGCAGGAACCAACTCCACAGGGAAACTACGCCCAACTTCCACCAGCATGACTTCTCTTGTTCAGCGAGAAGAGAAAGCCTTCCACCTCTTCCTGCAAAAGCAGCGTGCAAGAACAAAAAACTTTATCTGGAGCATTTGTGTGCGGTCTGTATGCATTCCTACTGGCTTGGACCCACACAGGGTCCACAAAGCATCCCGAATGCAAGCGGAACAGGTAGGCGCAACTCCGCCACCCTTCAACCTCATCCCTGAGCAACCCCAAACAAGACCTCAAGGCTCTAGAAAGCTGTTACGAGCAAGAGGGACACAAAAATCAAAATCACTTTCTTTTTTGAAGCGACAGCTTCAGTGCCTCTTTTTTTAAATGCCCCTGGTTAAAGTCAATGTAAATATAACGAGATACATAGCTTAAAACCTCAAAACAATCACACGCCCTCCAGCCAACAAACACTGGGCTCCTTTTTTATACAGGGGGAAGCAGGAAAAAAGTATCTACCTTTTGAAGCATTGTAAATATGGCACAATAGTCATGTACTATATTTGTTACTGTGACGTGACATATGCAGAAGACTGAACTGCAGAAAGAACAAAACTATGCATTATGAGGCCTCTTTTAGACAGAACTGACTCTAAATTAACTGATGCAGGGCAAAAACATTTCATAATCCAGTATATTTCCTAGCAATAACTGAACTCAGTATGAATGCTCAATATCAGGGCCTGACCTTATGAGGAACACCTGGGGAAAGATGATCTTAAAGGTGAAGACTAGAAATTAAGAATTTCCAAAAAGAGAGAGTTCTGTTTGTTGCTGCTTTTCAGGAAAGCAGACTAGACGTGTAATCCTATGAAAATCTACTTATAAGATTGCATTCAATTGGGTTTGTTTTGAATTGCATTTTAAGAGATTTAGGTCAACCCATGGACCACCAGATTTCTTATGATATAAGCTTTCCTGGATGAAGGGCTGCAAGATTCTCTTGTTTTTGCTAGAAATTAAGGACATGCATCTCAAACAATTAGGGACAAGTCAACTAACTAAAGCTGCCTTCCAAACAGCAGGTTTTATTTATTTATTTATTTAAAACATTGCTATGCCGCCCCATCGCAACAAAGCCTCTTTTCTTTATAAAATGCAGCTGTGTGCCCATGTTTCAATGCACACAGAAACTGCATGCAAAGCTACCTTTGTTGAAAAATACCTGTTTTGAAAAACAGGGCGTTTTTCAAAAAGTATTACTTCCTCCAACAGGAGGGCACAGGTGCTCCGAGAAAGGATTCCAGCCTTTCCCAACAGAATACCTTCCAGGCAAATTTACCTGAACAGGTATGCTGAACGGAACTCACAGGACTGAACTGATGCACAGTCAACCAGGCTACCGATCCTGCACACATTCGGGGAGGGGGATCTGCCAGAAGAGGGCTCGGGCCATGGGGCACGAGGTGGGGGGGCGGGGGCAGCCCAACTGGAAGAGGCCGGAGGGGGGTGCGGAGCCAGCCCCCCGCAGCCCGGGAGAGAAAAGGCCGTGAAGCCGCGCCGGGAGCAAAGGGGGCAGCCCCCCGGAGGAAGCGTCGCCCTCGCACCCTGTCCCTCCCTCCCTCCCTGAGGAGCCCCACGGCCCGGTCTGCAAAGCCAACGAGCCCCCCCCCCCCGGCACAACGCGGACGGCAGCAAGGGGGCAGCACCGCATTCCGCGGGGGCAGCGGTGGGGGCGCCCGCGGGCGGGGGGCGGGCTGCAGAGCCAGGAGGGCGCCTGGGGAGGCTCGGCTGGGGGCAGCACCCTCGCGGCCGGCGGGGCGGGCACCCCGGGCGGGGGGAGGGGAGGGGGGAGGGCCCAGCAGCCCCCACTCACCCCCCCAGATGCCCAGCTTGAGCTGCGACTTGTTCAGGTTCTCCACGTAGTCGCCCAGGAAGCGGTTCAGCAGCTCGGCCACCACCGACTCCAGCACCATGGCGGCGGCGCGGGAGGGAGGGAGGGAGGGAGGGAGGCGAGGCGAGGCGAGGCGAGGGGACGGGCCGCGCTCCGGCAGCCACCGCGCCAGCCCGGCCCCCGCGCCGGCGCCGCCTCTTCAGGCCCCCCGCGGGCGCGCCCCCGGAGCACCCGCGCCGCCCACGTGACCGCGCGCGCCTCCGCGGCTGCGCCTCTCGGAGGCTGCGGCGCGCGTGACCCCCGCCCCGCCCATCGGCCCCGCCCCTCGGCCCCGGCCAGCCGGGCGTGGACGATGGGACTTGCAGTCCGGAGGCGGACCGCCTCGCCCGCGGCCCGAGCGCAGCGCCCTCCCCCCACCCTGCGCGCGCCGCCCCTCCCCCCCCCCCCCGGCCGGGCGGCCCGTGACCCGGGCGCGCGATCTCGTGCGGGAAGCGTTCCCGCGCCCCTGCGCTCGTCGGGGCCGCCGGGGTCCCTGGGCGCGCGACGCTCTGGCGGTCCCTTGAAAAAGCTTCGGGGCGCAGTTTTGCGGCAGAAAGCGCCTGAAGCCCCGCGGCTCCCAGCGTGGGCCAGCGGACCGAGCCGGCGTGCCCTCCCTCTGGAGCTGCGCGCTTTCTCCGACCGGCCCAGGCTCGTGCATAAATCCGTGCAGGCTGGGGAAGATGGGAGTGGTGTGCATGCACAGGCGAGGCGCACTTTCCTTCTGGAGGAAGGCGGCTGTTTGGAAAGGTCCTGGTCAATATCACTGGGACCTTTTGACACCCCAAGTGAAATGGACAGAGCGCCGCGGCTGCAGGAAGGCCTGCACAATGTGTCCAGGACAAAGCGGGGAGTAACACATAAATGACACGGAAATGCTAATGAGCAGGAAGGCAGAAGCTTGTGAAAATGCGACTCTGAGTTTACCTGCCACCTCACAATATGGAGCGCAATAGGAACACTAATTGTTGCCGATTAGAATCAAACAGCAGTGCTTGGCGGGCATGTTTTCAACGAGCACAGTATTTCAACTGGAATAACGGTGTTAATGGAACACACGTTCCATCTGAACAATCCTCTTTCAAATTGTTCTTCCAATCATCGCAGGAGCAAAGGGCCCCTTGTAGAAGAATATTCCAGGCTGAGGAATGGTCCAGGAACGTCAGGAGGGGCTTGGGGCAACTCGCAGCTCCGGGCCTTCTACCCTCGGTGCAACACCCATACTCCTCTGTGTTCACCTGGGTTTGCCTGGATGCAGGATTCTCCTTTTCCCTTGGCCGAGATGCACACAGGTGTTGCACACGCCAGTTTGCCCCACGCTCTTTGCACCCGGGAGAAGCTGCGGCAGGGACACGAGCCGAGCGCCGGCCCGCTCAGCTCAGCCGGCGAGGGAAGCAGGCCGCCTGCAGTAGCGCTGCGTCCTGAGGGAGGCAATCGAGCTCCATGCGAAGGAGCAGCGGCCTGCCTTTGCCAGTGCATCAGCTGAAGGTGTGCATATTTGGAAAGTGCCTCACTGCGTCACTGAAAGGGCCAGCACCTCCGGTCACACTCGCCACACCTGGCCCGACGAACAAACAGTATGTCTGAAAAGCGGGTTAGTTGATTAAGAGATGCATATGCTGTCCGTTGTTATCAGATCACGCGGCTGTGTCCAGTAGGCCTGAGAGCCATTTTTTAAAAATTTTTGGTTTAATCCCCCATGAGCTGAGGCACCCACTGGCCTTTTGGTCTCTACGTGGGCACAGCCTGGTCCTGTGGGCAGGCGCTGTTTCCCTCCCTACCCAACGGTGAATTGTTGGGAACGTTCTACAGGGCTTCTGCTACAAGGCAGGCTAAAAATTAAAGAAATAAATATTGCTAATATTTATTAGCAAGAGAGGAATGCTGGTATACTTGCACCGTTGGCCCAGCTGGTTTTCGTGTTTGGTCCCAAATGCCATGGGGATGCAGCAGAGAAAATAACAATTCAGCCCCAGGGCCCACAAAAGGCTGCAGCAAAGCCAGGATATAAGGTGTGTTCACCAACTCACGAGCCCATCGTCAAAGAGGGGAGCCCGTATCATTTGTTTTTCAGGGGGTGGGACAGTTCTTCAGATTGTCCTTTACCATAAATCAATGCGTAGTCTGGAGAAAGTGGAGCGGGGGAGATTTTTCTGGCTCTTCCGTCGCACTTGAACCCGGGGTCACCCATGAAACTGGTTGGTGGGAGGTTTAGGCCGGATAAAAGGAAGCCCTTCTTCACACAGTGTAGAGTTAAAGTGGAATTCACTGCCGTGGGAAGTGGTGATGGCTGCCAACCTGGGTGACTGTGGCTACGAGCTTTGCTGGCCATGTGCTGCTTCCTTCACCAGAGGTGGCCCACCTGCGCACACCTGTTGCTGAGGAGCAACAGTGCGGAACAGCAACGCCTCCAGGTGAAGGGGATTTATCTAACCAATAAACTGCTCACATGAAAAGAGAGCAGAACTATCACCTGTGCCTTTAAGCTATTTTTACTCCTGAGTGAGCTTGTTTTCAAACAGGCACGGAGGTTGCTGGGATGTGAGCATTATTGATGTGCGGTATAGCGTCATACATCAATGCTCCCTAACCCAAACATTAGCTGCATCTTATATTATTCTAGATTTGATCCTGCTGGGAGCTGAGCCCCATTGTTCCCCCAGCAGATGCTCAGAAACCTTCAAACTGGGGGGCTTAGAAACATAGATACATAGAAACAGAGCGAGTCAGAAGGGGCCTCCCGGGCCATCTAGTCTGACCCCCGGCTCCAGCCGGCTGCACTCACAACATGCCCACCATGTGGATGTCCAGCCTATCTTTGAACACCGCACTGATGGGGCCTCAACCACCTCCCGGGGAAGCCCATTCCACACCCTCGGGGTCCTGACTGTCAGGAAGTGCTTCCTGGCATCTAAATGGAGCCTTGGTTCCCTGAGCTTTGCTCCATTGGAGCATGTCCTGCCTTATGAATGCTCAGCACAACACACACCAGGGATGCGCTCCCCAGCTCCCTGCCTGGCACCCTGTGTCTCCGCAAGACAGGCATTTTCAGCTGCCTAGGCTTAGTGGCAGGGGAGGGGAGCAAAGGGGGCTGGCCCCAGCAGCCCCCACCCGGTCACTCAGATGTCTGCTGAGACCCAGTCGTGACCTTGGGAGATCCAGAGACCTCAGTACTTGGACTCCTTTGGAGTCCAAGATCCTTCAGGAGGCCAAAGGATTAAATATGTCCTTAATTAAAATCAGTAAGTGACTCACGATAGTGTCACCATGCCCTGAGAGGGCCAGCATATTATTGTACTTTGAGGCTAGGGACAGCTGTAGCAACGGACACTCGGTGGCGTTTGTGTTTGGGAGGAAGTATTCCACGGGATTCTGTTGAGTGCTTTTGCACATCTCTGCCAGATGTGATTGATGCCTTTCCCCATGAGTCCAGAGGAACAATGCAAGCTCTTAAACGTTTATAACTTATGTGGGAAACACTTGTTTTATTTAAGTCAACCCTCTTGCAAATGCCAGGCTGTTTCCGTGTACCTAACGAAGGGCCTGGGGCTCCCCAGGCACTCTTTTCTGTCTGTATGTGCCCTGAATGTATGAGGGATCTTGCTTAGTTCTGATAACGCATTAAGAAACTGGATGGACTGTTCATTTCCAAGGACTCTTTACCAAGCCCATTTTCACATCTTTGCTGGTGACACCGCATAGAACATTCTGTTCATTTTCCTTCTCTGGTGCTGAAAAGCTGCTGAATTGTGGACTGAGTTGTTTCATCGGCAGGACATACTCTCAGTTATTTCATCCTGGGTACATGGAAGACTATCATTGCATTCCATTCCTGGCTGCTCAGCTAGTGTAAACAAAGGTTCTCTGCCCCCACAGAGCTCTCGGAAGACTTCCCGGAAAAATAAGCCACAATTCTGGAACATCAGAAATGAGCAGAACCGATGTTTGCCTTCATGTAATGAAAGTGCTTTAAGAACACTGCTTCCCCAAACCCTTGACGGATCTGCAAGGTGCGTGGGGACACACCATTCTTCTCATTATTTTTTTTTTCCAATTTATATCCTGCCTTTTTCCTACAAAGGGCTCAAGGCAGCTGACATCATTCTTCTCCTCCATCTTATCCCCACAACAACAACCCTGTGAGGTAGGCTGGGCCGAGAGTCTGTGACTGGCCCAAAGTCTCCCAGTTGGCTCCATCGTGCACCTTCCCCCTACCTGCAACCCACCTGGTGCTGCAGAGGGCACCCATTGGCAGGAAAGGGAGAGATCTGATGTGGTTCAATAGCTGCGAGGAGGGATCAAGCCACTCCAGCCCCGAGCTTTCAGGTGGAGGGGGCAGCAGTGGGGCGAGAAAGAGAGAGACACCCTGGGGAAAGCTGGCAGCAGAAGCAGGCATTTCTGAGCACCTGCCAAAGGCTCACACACCAGCCGGGGCCCCATCAGCATGTTCTGCCCGCAGTTCTCCTTCCATCAGGCCCGCGAGTCGGAGAGGAGAGGAATATTCCGGCTGATGCTCTGCACGGAAAACATCCTGGTGGATTGTGCCCTGCAGTCCTGCGATTCCTGGGCAAACAGTAGGCAGAAAACTCCATGCAGCCCTCCAGCTCGCTTCATGTGCCCTCCAGCTGCCGGCTGATCTGGGTCACTGGAACAGGGACAGAAGCGTTGAGCTCATTACCTCTGGTGCAGCCCGAACTGCAGTGGTCTGGAAAGGACTGGCTTATGTTTTTCCATCCCCAGGGCTCGCTGGCTCACAAACCTCAGTTGAAAACAAGCTCATGACATGGCAGCCAGCTTATCGAGTCTCGAAGTTACACCTGGGTTATTCTCAGATGGCATTTCAATAAGGTCGAGGATCACAAGTCTGAATATGGACGTTTAGGATGATGGAGATGCAAAAGATCGAACTTAGATGTCAATAGAACATTGCCCATCTGTTCTCCTCTAGATCTGACTCCATTGCAGGAATTGCTTTAATAGGCAATGCCGACCAGCTGTTTAAACATGCATGTTTGGAAGGGGCTGCCCTCTCTGGTAAACAACCCTCGGCAAACGCCTGCTCATGG